GGAAATTATTACTGGAGAATAGTGAATTGTGTTTTTGATCTTATAGCCTCTAAGAATTCTAATTATTTGGCCGTTCACATGGTCAAAATTGTGGGTGAGCGCCTTAAATATCATTGCAATGAAACGGCTTGACAATGCCGGTGTAAGAAAAATAAGATAATTAAGTTTCACAGTAGATTGTATAAGTTGTCAATCTGTAACCGATGGAGGTGTCTAAAGCAGCATGATTCTTGATAGTTATTCTGAAATGGAGGATACAAACCTAATATTGCTCATGCATTAAAAACCAAGGTTTGTATTTGAATAGCTTTATTTAGATGTTTTTTATTGAAAAAAAAGGAAAGTCTCAAAACCAGTTTGCTAAGTTCGGAGGAAAACGAAAAAAGTATTGGCAAATTTTGAAACAAAATACGCCTAGCATTTTATCATTTAATAAAATGTGTTTTTAACAACTGAGTAAACCCAGTTATTTATTAAGGTATAACTATTGCTGTGATAGCACTTTTTTGACGAATTAATTATCGTTTTTGTTTTATTGTTTTCAATTCTCGAACTAAATTTGAATGACAATAATTGTAATGATAATAATCTGAATCAATTGTTTGTTTTTCAAAGCAAGAAAGGTAATTTCCGTAGGCATAAAGAGTTCATCAATTTGTCAGACTGTCCTGCCCTAAATGGCCGGTGACGACTGATTCACCAAATGAGGAGGAAGTCCGCAAGGAACTCCAACTCTTGAAGCGTTACAAATCACCTGGCCCAGATGACTTACCTCCGGCTCTTTTTAAAGATGGTGGTGACTTTTTGACTAAGGAATTGACGACGTTGTTTACAAAGGTTTGGGAACTAGAGTGTGTACCAACGTCATGGAATGAGTCGATAGTTGTCCCTATCTTTAAAAAGGGTTCACGTCGTTCTTGTAACAACTATCGGGGGATAAGTTTACTTCCGATTGCGTCCAAGCTATTGGCTTCCGTCATTCTTCGTAGGTTGTTCAAAACCCGAGAAAGATTGACTCGCGAGGAGCAGGCTGGGTTTCGTTCTGGTCGAGGATGTATTGATCATATCTTCACCCTCCGCCAAATGTTAGAACACCGCCATACTTTTCAAAGGCCAACAATCGTAGTGTTTCTTGACATCAGGGCTGCCTTCGATTCGTTGGACAGGACTGTTCTCTGGGATTGTCTATTGAAGAAGGGTGTGCCTGAGAAGTTTATTAACATCCTAAAAGCCCTATATAAAAACACCTCAGGCAGAGTGAGGGCATACAACCACCTCTCTCCATTGTTCCATTCGAGCAGTGGGGTTAGGCAGGGTTGCCCAATCTCACCATTCCTCTTCAACTTTGCCATCGATGACATTCTGGAAACAGCTCTGATGAATGTAAGTAATGGTGGTGTGGATCTGTTGCCTGGAGAAAGACTTCTCGACCTTGAGTATGCGGACGATATTGTCTTACTGTGCGATAATGCCCAAGGCATGCAATCCGCACTTAATCAGTTGGCAATCAGTGTCCGTAGGTATGGTATGTGCTTTGCACCTTCGAAGTGCAAAGTACTTCTACAAGACTGGCAGGATTCTAATCCTGTACTCACCCTGGACGGTGAGCAGATAGACGTAGTTGAGAAGTTCGTGTATCTGGGTAGCTGCATAAGTGCTGGTGGGGGTGTGAGTGATGAGATCAATGCACGAATAGTGAAAGCCAGAGCGGCTTATGCCAATCTGGGCCACCTTTGGCGCCTTCGTGATGTTAGTCTGGCTGTAAAAGGTCGGATCTACAACGCGTCGGTGAGAGCAGTTTTGCTCTATGCTTGTGAAACCTGGCCTCTCCGAGTTGAGGACGTTAGACGACTCTCTGTGTTCGATCATCGCTGTCTCCGAAGGATTGCTGACATTCAGTGGCAACACCATGTCAGTAATGCAGAGGTTCGGCATCGTGTGTTCGGGCACAGAGATGATAACTCAATTGGTGTCACCATCTTGAAACACCGACTTCGGTGGCTTGGACATGTTCTCCGAATGTCGTCCCAGAGAATTCCACGTCGTGCATTATTTGCCGACTCTGGGACTGGTTGGAAGAGGCGGAGAGGTGGTCAGTGCATGACATGGTGTCGTGGCATGAAAGAAAGCTGCAAAGGACTGGCTTGTGTTGGTCCTTCACGACTCCCTGGTTGGGGTCCGAGAGATGGTGCTACACAGTGGCTAGAGACGTTATCAGATATGGCTCAGAATAGAAGCCAGTGGCGATCCTGCTGTAACCTTCTTTTACTTTCTTTCTAAAAAGTGGTTGTGTCTCCTTTACCTGAAAGATTTCTTCTGATTGTACCTTTTCGTTCCGTCGTTACTACCACACTACCTTACTCCAATCTCTTCGTCATTGTTCTCTTTTTCTTTTGCGTTCCTTAGTTTTTTTTTGTATTTCTCTTCGAATTTTCATTGTTTTGTGTGGCGCATATATATTGGCGCTCTCTTGTACCAATATTTATGTGTTCAAATAAATAATAAATAATAAATAAATACTAAATTTGAATGAAAACATTTGAAGTGTTTAGTTTCTTGTGCTTTCCATCGGCCAATGCACTGTCCAAATAATTGCGAATGGAATCAATCTAGGCACATTATGTGTACATAGGATTCAAGTGAGACATGGAACGATGAAGTATTTGAAGAGCTTGACCTCTGAAGACTTCCAATAATATTCTGGGTGATGGAAATAGATGTAAGACAAGTGCATATTATCGCAAATGAGAAGTGTTTTGAATTAAGTTATTTTGAAATATAGTTTCTGTGTATTCAGTGTATTTACTGAGGATGATACGCAAATATGTAACTTTCGTGACTGAAAAAGTCTTTACTTTTTAGACATAGTGACTTACTAAAATAATAGTACGTTGACTACAAATCTTCAAATTGTGTAACCCATTATTGAGGATAATTTTTAGTTATGCCTCTCTCTACAAATCAGATATTTTTTGAAGTCGTGTGTGCAAATAGAAATCAGTTAGCGTTTGCAGGCGTATATTTAGATATATATCGAACTTCTGATGAACATAAACATATGCCTTTTGTAATATGGTCTATGCTAGTATTATCCTCGTCATCTCTGAGCACTGTTGCAACTCTATACTATCGTCCTATTTTTACCGTTTTTACTTCCTCTCTTTTCAAAGTATGTGTTCGTTACTGAATCTATCAGATAGTTCATCTGGTCAAGTGATCATTGAAAAATGAACATTTTTTAGACATCGAGGGAACTATTCTTATATTCGACTTATATATAAATGCATTGAATATAAATAGTTGCATGTGAAATCTCCAAAAAATGTTTAGGAACTAGGTCAGTTAAGCAACGCAGAACCTGGCACATGTTTATATCGAACCAAGTCGCCATATCTTATAAGCACAGCGAGATGAAACTATTAGAAATAACCCCAGAATGGTGCAGTTAGTAACAGTATTAGTAGTAATAGAACAGATCTTGCATCAAAGATACATTTCAAGAAAAATTTTAATTAGTGGAAAAATCTACGACGAATTTAGATACTTAGGATCTAAGAAAAGAAAAAAGGAGTGAATGAAACCCCTCTGGAAATCGCTTTTCCTAACTTTTCGTACTTTCAACTTAAACAGAACAGTTTAACGCTTTATAAAAGGTTCATTTCAACAAAATTAGGAACAGCACTAAAAGCAGCTAGGAGGTCTCAAAGCTACAAATTAGCTAAGGAAGAGATACTCGGAATGATGCTTAACAATTAGAATATTAGAATTGAACTCAGCTGATTAATTATGATGGATTTCAAACCAACTAGTTTATTACTTGTTATGGATGCAGAATAATATACCGATAATTATCGTGTTGAGTCGAATGGTGTCCTTGAACGTTAAATGGACATTTCCCATTGGTCGATGTTTGTTTCACTTGTTAAATATTGTGTAAATGTTGTTTTCTATTTTATGGTACGGTGTGGTTTGTTTGGTTAGTATATAAATGGAGTGTCTGAAATACAATGATTCATAACTCAGAGGCTGACTTGTGTTCTTGACTCAACTGGCTAGGACAGACAGCGAGGCGAGGCCAATCGGGGCACTAGATCGTCCGTACGTGTTTTACGTGTCACAGATTCGATCGATAAAACGCTGCTTATCAAAACCGTGCAAGTCCACACGTTACAACATTACTTCTATCCCCTCTTCTGATATGAGGTACGATTATAAAGGAACTACAACAAAGTTGCACGTGATTGTTGAAAATCTGTTGAGAGTGGGTGTACATCCATCGTTTGGTAAGGTTACCAAAATATCAACAGACTCTTGCCGCATTAGTGAAAGGTCTTGTAAGATTTACGGCCAATTCGAGTCAGTAAGTAAATAAAAGTTGTTGACCAGGTTACACTGCAGTTCTCATCTGGAGAACCAAATATTTAAAACACACCATGCAAGTTGATTAAGATAGTGAAATGTATCGTGAATCAATTTTTATACACTCCTAAAATACTTAGCTCGGTTTTTTATATCTTGTTAGTCAATGCTAAGTCATAGTAGGTGCTTTTAAAGTTCTAGTTTCCCTCAGTTGTGTATATACATCGTCATTGATACCTTGTCACCGAATATCTCATTTTCGTTTTATTTCCATCTGACAGGTGATTCAACAAAATACCCTGCATACTCCTCAAGGATACTATTTTGTCAAACCTTCAAATATTTTATTATTCATGTATTTTAATTTGTGTAACACAAAATATGGGAAATCATACAGTTAATGAAGTCACCAACTTTTTGAACGTGGCAGTGATGTCGAAGATGATATCAACACTTTAGCATCTACTAATACACATATTACGGAGAATAATCAATCCGTCTTGGTATCTTCTACATCGGACACATTTTTAGTTCCTCCTTTGCCTCCGCATAATCTAGGACATGATAAATCATTATCCTCTTCATCCATTTCAACACCTAATGTGGACAATATCAACACAAAACGATATACTGATTCTGTGATGCTTCGAAGTGATCATAAAGAGTCTTCTCAGGTAATCACTTCAGCCATTGATGCCCAGGTGAAATCTATCAATGAAATGTTATCCTACTTTTCTAAATTAGTCAAAGCTGAAAAAACTGTTCAACAGGCTCTGTCCGATTTACTTGATGATCAAATGGAATCATCCACTGTTGGCGGTGTTGGTGGTGGTGGCCAGCGTTCGAATACCACCACTATGCGTAATTTATTTAAAGCAAATTATACTCGTGGACGTCGTCGTCGTTTAACCATGAATATCTTGAATAAAAATTTATCTAATTCATCTACTGATAGTGAATTAAATAAAGTAAGTTCAGTGATAACCTAGTATTGCCAGTTTTTGTCAGTAGAAACAAGTTGTTATAAAAATATAATTTAATAGTTGAATTCATGGTTCACTTGAAGCTAGACCACTATGGAAAATCTGAAAGCACTGGACGTCCATTTCGTCTTATTATGGGACTCCTCAGGAACGCACACCCACGATCTCGTTCAATTTCGTGGATTAGTCGAAGATAGACATTAACACCGCTAGCCTAGCTTCAATTGACTCATGAATTCAACTATTAAATCACTATAATATCCACAAAAACCCTTCTTTGATTATAAAAATATAATTGTTGAAGTTTTATAAGTATTCTGGTTTACCATGACATTTAGACAGATGACTCCTAAATCTTTAAATCTACTAAACTTATTGGCTTGTGGTGTATTCAGTAAAGTAAATGTAAATATCAGTGTAACTTCTTTGATAAGCACAAGCTCTATGAACTCATCTTTTTTAAGGCTCAGTCAATATCTGTTTCTATTATAATAGCTTCTTAATCACTGGTTAAATGATATAAGCATTCCATTTATTGAAGTTTGTAGTTATTAAGTTCTATTTACTTTATAAAGAATCTATTTCAAATATAAATTAGTACGGTGGCAAAAGAAAATTGTACTAGACAATACCAATTAACGATATTGCAGTTGCTCTCTCTGGTATCACATGTTTCATGAAGTTACAGAAATAGCAAGTGACATCATATAGTCTGTGACTATAAAGAATAATCATTAATCAAGAACAATAAAACCATTTAAGTTAACTTAAAATTGAAGTCGGTAAATTTACATTGTTTAACCACTGGCCAATGTGATGTTTATCTGGTCTTCTATGTTGATTGAATTTTATCGGTTAACATGCAATGTAGCCACTGGTCTGAATGACTGACTGGATATCACGTGAACTATGCTTGAACGTTAGTTAGTTTTAGGTAATCGCATGGAAACCCTGAATTTCTTAAAATATGAAGGTAGGACCATCGATTCCTTCAAGATTGGAGGTATGCCTTGTTGTGCCAACTGGTAAAAAACCATGGTTCAATGTTTCCTGCTCTGCCAATTTCAACTACATAGCATTCAGGAAGTGTTTCCAAGATATTCGGTGCTAAGTCCAACTAAAGATTAAATTTACTCAAAACAATTAGTCACTTTGATAAAATTTGATAATGCAATGAGAAGACGAAGTTTATCAGAATTATATGTTATATCTGCGCAATACATTTCGAACAGTCTGATCACACATATACTTGTTAAGACATTTTTCTATGGAAATTAGGTCAACTAGACAAGTTAGAGGTAAGCTGTAACAAAGAAAAATAAAGTATACGAAAACAATGAGATAACCACTCTGGATAATCAATCAGTATTACCAGGGTAGGTTAAGGGGAAGGACAAATTGTTTTTGAACGCATAAAGGGGGTTTCGGTTTCCGTATAGTCAAGGCTTCAATAAACTTGAGTATAGATCCTTGAAGGCTTTTGTACAACGCCATAAATGCTGACTTGATGTCAACGTTATGACCAGTCTCAATTAAATGTTTCGTATTCAGTTGAGTTTTTCAACCCGAAACATAAAGTAGTTAAATTGATCCCTTATCAATAGATAGTTTTTGCTCTCTTTAAGATAATAAAGAGAACTGTGTATATGGAGTCTAGACATTGTTGACTTCTATTGTAACCACTTCTTTTCGGTTATATGAATTAAGACTTGGTTTTTTTCGTGTGTGGAAGGGATCGCCCAGGACAGGGTTGGATGGAGAGTGCTGGTAGGCGGCCTATGCTCCTCCACGAGGAGTAGCAGGCGTGAGGAAAAAAGGTTATTTTGTATGTGTGTGAGTGTGATATGCTTTTTTTTACATCTAACTCTTTAATTATTACTATTGTCTTCAGCTTTTACAAAATCTTGTCATTTCAACAAATCATCAAGCACGTATGTATTCGACACGTGCATTATTTCATAAATTAATCACTGCTGGACAATTAGATAGTTTAAATAATTGTGAACAATGTTTGAGACGAACTTATCTAGAATGTGAAGAAGAATTGAAATCACAAGCACGTCAGGTATGTTTTAATTTATTGTATTCCAAGTTTATCTATGATATAAAGTCCCTTCTTGACTATTTCTTATTCTATACTACTCATTTCGTGGCTTCATTCGTTTTTTTATGACTTTGTTTCTTGCATTTATATTTTTTACTGTCATCAGTATAATGATTTTGACTTATTCCCTGTTCATTGTAGTAATTTTCTCACTTGCTATGTTAATACTTAATGTATCATCTAAGAGTAGAGGATACTCGTAAACTAGTAGTATTTGATCACAGATGTCTTAGAAATATTACCAGCATCTGTTGGGATCATCGGGTAAGTAATGGTGAGGTTAGACGCATGATATTAGGGAATGATGGTAAATCAGTCGATGAGATTGGGAATCTTCATTAACTGAAATGGTTGGGCCACGTATTACATATGCCTGAACACCGGTTACCACAACGTGCAATGTTGACTAGTGTTGGGGACTGATGGAAGAAAGTGAGAGGCGGCCAAACCTTGAAGTCACTAACGTCTGAAGTGAGCCATATTGGTAGATACAGACTACTTGGTCGGGGTCTACATAACTATGGCACCCAATGGTTGGAGACTCTGCATGACATGGCTCATAATCGATCACAATGGCATCGGTGTATACACTCTTTGTCTTCCCTTAAACCATAAGATTATAATTGCTTTATACCTTTATCTCTACGAACTAATTCTTTCTCCCTGTATCATATCCTTATATGAAGTCTGATTTTTACTACAATTGAAGTAACTACTTCTATGGATTTGGTGTTGATCTTGTTGTGCTAATGAGGTATGAGAACTTGGACCGATGCATATATGTGCCTGGTCTTACGTCGTCGCTAACTGAATGACTGACTGATTGTCATTTGAGATCTGTACATTTTTGTGTACGGTCGTACATTGTTTACTGTGGAGTAGTGACTCGAAGATTGAAACATTCGAATTTAAGCCACGAAGTCAGGAATTGGAACCCCGATCTACTTACGTTGGTTTGAGGAATCAGGTGGTATCACTAGCTTCATACTTATGTTGTGAACTTGTAAACGAGTTGTATTCAGTAATTTGTTTATGATCGAGTAAGATTAACGGTTAACTTAGAGTATAGAGTTTTTATGCATGCTTTCCTTCACTTAATCATAACGTAGAATTTACCACAGCCATTAATTAGTTGAAGTTCTCTCATTTCCCCTCGATCATAGTAGGGAACTATTAGTGTCTTCATAAATCTATCAACAAACCATTTTTATTTATTCATTAATGAGTAATTATGAGATGGGTTGCATTGCGAGTTTGTAACTAGTAGCTTTCACTCATGTGTGGGTAATAGCATTTACCGTCTGATGGGATTAGGTCATTGTAGTTCTATTTCGCGAATCAATTGAAGTTGGCCGTGTGGAAAATTTTGTCCAAACCCATTGGTTTAAATATTATGTACTCACCTCGAAGCAACCTCTGGCCGGTGTCGTAGGTGTAGAATGTTGGGGAGTCATGTGTTGGAATGAAACAGGTACTTAGTAGCTCTTGTCTTTCAACTAATGTTTAGCTGATAATGTCAGTCAGCATCGTAAACCGTCTTTAAAACTAAACTATTCTCGATAAATCTCTCGATCAAATTTTGGAGAATATATATTTAAGAGAGTAAATGGAACCGATGAAATTTAAAAGTACAAAACAATATACAAACTTGAGATTATTTAGAAAAAGAGAAAAAAATACGTCGACTTATGTCGTTGTGTCATTGATTTTCAACCATATCCTTCGATCACTGCCGCGGTTATTTCATGAATCTAATCTATGTAGTGCCTATCAATTCATTTAGATTAGATCAAAAGTTCTCGTTTTCATTTTAACCTTCTATGCATCTCCAGTTTTTACGTACATGGTTAGTTTGTTTAGTATAATAGGATCCCGACCGTTGTTGAGTCTTATGTGACCGACCTCAAGCAGTTGTCCTTTGGGCACTGCGGTCACACTCTCAGGTCACTAAGACCACTTCTAATCCAATTTCCTTCCCACGTACCTCCAGAAGAACCCTTCCACGGTGTGGACCTCATACCTCTAACAGCACTCAAGATCACTAAATAGGGTACCTTTCCATAACGTATTAATACATGTTGTCAAATAATTAGGCATGTAGTATGTTAATTCTAGAAATCGTAACAATTACTTTCCATGGGTGTGGTGAACATTACTTACTGAAGTTAGGATTGAATGGGAAAAACGCCCATCTGAGATAAGATGAATAGATGTGTGTTTTTTTTTAAAAGGAAATCGTTTAGGTCATTAAAATTAGAAGGTTGGTTTAGAAACGATCATATAACTGATGATTTCAGATTTGATAAGGTTGTTTACCATTGAATTCATTATGATTTCTAATTGAATTTTATAAAGTCTACTTTCATAATGTCTCATATTAGGAAATTCCATGTGTTAAAATGAATAAATAAACACTTTGTTAGGGTAACTTTTTCTATGAGTAGGTATGTACCAGATTTTCATCAATAATCAACTGATTTTAAAATACACACTAACTTGATTTAAGAAAAAATATGCATGTATAAGACCTGAAGAACTCCACCTAGAGCCCCAACACCAAAGTCACCATTTTCAATACAAATGTCAAGACAGTTCTACTCTAGAGACGGAAACTTGGAGAACCACTAAAGCCATCATCCAGAGGATACAAATGTTCATTAACAGTTTTCTACGCATAAAAAATACTTCGGATTCGTTGGCCAGATACTATCAGCAACAACCTACTGTGGGAGAGAACAAACCAGATCCCAGCGGAGGAAGAAATCAGAAAGAATCGCTTGGAGTTAATAGGACACGCATTGAGGAAAGAACCCAACTGCGTCACCAGGCAATCCCTCACCTGTAACCCTGAATACCAAAGGAGGAGAGGAAGATCAGAGAACGCATTACACCGAGAAATGGAGATAGACATGAGAAGGATGAACAAGAATTGGATAGAACTAGAAAGGAAGGCGGAGGACCGAGTGGGTTGGAGAATGCTTGTCGGTGGCGTATGCTGCACTGGGAGTAACAGGCGTAAGTAAGTAAGTAAATAATAAGACCTGAGGGGCATCTGTTTGATCTTATTGCAGATTCTAACCTCGTCATTCTCACGGTATCCCAAACAACCGATCAGTAGTTGCTTCACTAGGTCTCATCCATGAAGTGTGTGGATTAAGGCTGAATACATAAATTGTTATTTGATAAATAAGTTTGTGATGATTTAATCATCAATTACTTGTTGAATCAATAGCTTTTTGGATGTCACGTTGCAGAGTTATTTTCGTTTAATTTTATTGCAGCTTCGTTTATTGCCCGTGTATCGTTGAATGATCGAATGAACGACATTGAAGTTAAACATAAAGTACTAGGCAAAGATGGTAAAGTAGTTGATAATTTTGTGAGTCTTCATCGATTATAGTGATTAAGATACATGTTATGTATACCCAATTTACTGCTTACTTCGACCGGAAATATTTGGCTGGTATTATAGTCAGTTGGAAGGAAACTAGGCGCGGCGAAACCAAAACATAGCATCACTACATGAAGACAATAAATGTTAGACTTAGTTATTCTAGAAGATTTAAACTGCCTCGTTCGGGTCTACTCAATAACTAAGATCATTGATCGGTGATCTGGTGACATAGTTCAAAATCCATTACAATGATACAGATGATTTCATATTGTTTCTTTCTTAAATATTGAATTTTGAGCATTCCTTGATACATACCTTTTCATACTGTCTTTTTGAACCATATTATCACAGTGTTTATTCTTTCTCATTATCATTGCTACTAATATGACTTCGATTTCTTCACTATTCAACTTATCAAGTTAATATGATACGGGAACATGAACTAATACATGTTTGTTCCAGGTTCTATATTGATTATGGTTAATTGTATTACTTTCTTATTTTTTATATTACAGTATATGTTAAGCTTAAAAGCATATGAAAAGAAATATTTCAAATATATTGGTCAATTGTCAAATATACAATCGAAATTAACAAATTTATGTGATAAGCGTAAGTTATATTCTTTTGTCAACTATCTTATATTGTATTCACTTGTATCTTCCCATTGTCATTTAAGATTGCAATTGATCAGTCTCTTATTGTCATATATGCATCCTGTGTGGACTGCCTCGATATTGCCTGAAGTCATAAGCTTTTTAAGCGAAGATGGATAATGGCTAGCAATGGAATCCAGGACTCGTGTTTCGTCCTATTTTGGACTCGTCAGCTGGATCTACCTGCATATCGAGTGCCAGAGTGAACAATAACTCTGTTATGCAGGTGTATCCAGCTGACGAGCCACAAATAGGACGAAACGCGTGAATTGGATTTCACTGCTCGCCTTTATCTACTTTTACTTATAAGATATATTGTATTCATACGTAAAGTTATCTTTAAATATTCAATTAAGTCTACTAAATTGTTCTTAAAAGAATGCCAATTACATTTATATATATTTATATATCATATTGAGCATAGTTTTGTTGTGTTGTTTCTAATGACCATCTTCTTCTTCTTCTTCTTCTTCTTCTTCGTCATTATCATCATCTATTCGCCCGACTTTTGTCTTTATTTATTAACATCAAAATGTACTACATACAGTATTTCACATATAAGTAATTTCGTTTGCTTGTTTGTTGTTTTCCTCTCTCTTGTTATTTAATGATACATGATACTTTTTATTTATATCCTATTCTTATCCTAGTGGATATCATTAATGTACTTATTATGTTATTGTATGACATATGATTTAGTAACCGAATGTTCATGATGAATTTGATACAATTTTATCTTCTTGTTGTTGTAAAAAAGTAGGAAAAAGTAATTTAATATTTGGGCAAGAAATGAATTAATTAGAAGTATATTGAATTCCCCAAATGTCCTGGTTGGGCTGAGAGTAGGGAGAGTCAGCTCTCTCTAGAAATACTCTCATATAGCCACGTGCATACAACCACTGTTAGGGAAGTCCTACTCACTGCCGTCTCGCTGCGATGTTGTTTACGAAATTGAGAGGACGAAAAGTGAAGATCCGGTGTATTAGCCGGGTTGGTGGGTATGGAGGATTCACCGACGGGAGTTGGAAAACCCTGATTCCAAACCAATGGTGCATATGGGCTCCAGGATCTTTAGGGATAAAAAGGCGTACGAACCTATTGTTGGTCACCAGCTACCATGTGACTGCATCTCCTTACTTTGCTCCACTGTCTTGTGGATCAAACCTTTAGGTAGAAGTCTCGGGGTGTGGCTCCTTAAGAAAACCACCTGCTTCAGTTTGGGCACCTCGCCAGTATCCCAGGCTTCACGTAAATCTAATGATTTGTTTGGCGCATATGTATTTGGTGCCTCCTTGTACCAATGTCTATGTGTTTAAATAAATAAATACTGAATCCTTATACCAAGTAAATTGGTTGAATAAAGAGTCATTCAAAGAATTTACTTTAAGTACTGATTGTGACCTTTATACCTTTCTTGAATTCATTATATGTGATCTTTATGGTATTGTTGGCATGTAGTGTAAATGACCCCTTTGTCTTATATATTAACTGAGTCTTGATATGATATGTGGTGTTGTTGCTAATTTTCTCAGTCATGCTCAAGAAATAATAAACTTTAGGATTGCAATCAGGGATTTAGGGGTGCATATTATCGAGTTTGGTGAATTTTTAAATTTATCAGTTGATCATGTTTTTATCATTCCTTGATTTGTGATTGATTGGTGAATATTATTGTTCTACATACTATCTTCTAGAAGATGGAAACCTCACAAACTAAGTTAACTGAATCTGAACCTGAAACTGTCTGAATATATCAAGCTGTATAATATCAACTCGACTAGAAATATATCTGCAAATCATCAAATTTTGAACGAAATTCGTCTTCATAACTGAGAGAACTTCCTTTGGGCAGTAGGTGGCCCATTTGGTGTTCTAGGTGTTACAAAACGTATATTAACAAGCTGTTATCGTTCGATAGCATTCTGTAGTTTTTCTTTTTGTCAATTATCTGACGGTATCTTGAGTCTTTTCTGCAAGAAGTTTGCTGTAAAGCCTCTTTTATGAGTTCCTGAATAAGGGGTCTGCTGTACGATATAAGCTGGAACATTTCCTTCATAAATCTCGTATTCCGTTGACAGGACCCTGCATTATTCCATCTTGCCGTTGCCGAATGATACATTATGTTTTGATGCAACCCAAACATTTATTTCGTTCTTTCATACAAGGAATAACCTTGTAACATCTTTAACACTCTTCACTTCATATATTATTATCGTCATTGTGTTTAAAAAACATCTGTTGTTAGGGAGGTATTCTTATGCCCCACACAACTTATCATGATGTAGATTAGACGTTTCCAACACACTGGTGGTTTCCATTTATTCATTTTAGTTAACTTAAACTTTGTTATTACAATGAGGTTCTCTTTTAAATAGCATATGACTTATATTTAAAAATAAAAATAGTTAAGTTGAATTAGGGAATTAGTTTTTTGTTAAATTCATATATATGTAAACCTAGGTGACTATTCTACTGTATGGGATGGAAGCTTGGAGAACCACTAAAGCCATCATCTAGAAGATACAAATGTTCATTAACAGTTTTCTACGCAAAATACTTGGGATTCGTTGGGCAAACACTATCATCAACAACATATTATGGGAGAAAACAAATCAGATCCCAGCGGAGGAAGAAATCAGAAAGAATCACTGGAAGTGGATAGGACACATATTGAGGAAAGCACCCAACTGCATCACTGGGCAATCCCTCACCTGTAACCCTGAATACCAAAGGAGGAGAGAAAGATCAGAGAACGCATTACACCGAGAAATGGAGATAGACATGAGAAGGATGAACAAGAATTGGATAGAACTAGAAAGGAAGGCGGAGGACCGAGTGGGTTGGAGAATGCTTGTCGGTGGCGTATGCTGCACTGGGAGTAACAGGTGTAAGTAAGTCAAGTGACTATTGGCTGCCTGTACGACTCGGAATGAATTCATGAACTCTCTGACTGTTGGGCTGGATGCTTTTGATAAGTTCAGACTACCTTATTTGAGTCCGCCGAGTTACTGTGATCGATTACTGGAGACGTTTTACAACACTTCAGAATGTTACAATGCTTCAGATGCATTCCTTTTTCTCTTTCATAAAATTTGAGTTTTAAAATTATGTTGTATTTCTAATTCATTTTGCATTGGTTGTTTGAATGTCCCCCTTGGTGTTTAGAACTTCAATTGATCAGTCTCTTATTGGCATATGTTCATTCTGTACAGATGTGTTGAAATTGTCTCATATCACAAGCATTATAAGCAGATATGATGGCGGCTAGCAGTGGAATCTAGGACGCATGTTTCGTACTATTTGGGAATTGTCAGCCAATAGCTTGTGCAATGGGCTATTTCGACTCAATAACTAAGTAGGTAACGCGATGGCATTATAAGTAAACGTACTGGGTTCGAGTTCTGGAATGAGCATTAACTCGGGTGTGAGTGCATCCGGCTGACCAGTCGCTAACATGACGAAACATACGTCCTGGATTCAACTGCTAGCCACCATTATCTCTGCTTATGTTGTATCTCTGTTTCTGCAAATTCATTCGTATTTCCCGATTTATACTATTTACGTTTAATGTTTTCTACCGTCAATAATACTCTTCTAAGATTTATCTCAAAAATTTCATCTATTTGTATAATGACTTCAACCAATGCACATATATACTTGATTCTACATTACTAATATCTGATTGATTGACTAGTAGTGAACAACTACTACTATGTAATTGTTCAATTACTTATTACATATTGTCACGAGTTTATTATTCAATGATTAATTCACTATATTAAATTTTAATAATTGAAATTTATTCTTTCCGTTTTATGCTCATTTTTCAATAGAAAACAAAACAAAACAAAACAAACAAACACGAAATCAAAATTGATTTCCAAAAAAAAAAAACAGAAAAGGAAGTTTAGTTTATTGATTATTCGTGTTAATAGTAGTACTATTAGTACTATTAGTAGTATGTGTGCGCGTGCGTGTACATTGGCACAATCATTATCACCATCTAATCTTACTGATCATATATAAATATTATACATAAGTACACGTACATCACTTTCATTATTTCTTTCTTTGGTACTTATCAAAACAAATAGAGTATATATATATATATGCATATATTGACTTGAATTATTACAATTATGAACTTCATGAATGTGAATGATTAATGATTAATTAATGATTGGAATGTTTGTTGTTGTGGTGATACTATTCATTTAATTATTGTAATTGTATATTACATTATCGATTATAAATGTATTTATTCTATTTAAGATCGTAATGACCAAAAAGAGTAAAAGTTACTCAAAGAAAGAAAAAAAGAGTAATATATTCAAATAAAAGTGAAGAAAAAAAGAAAAAAGAAAAGAACCCCCCCGAAACATACCAATAAAGGGAATTAGGGCCAAAGAAGGATAGAGTGGCTTTTAGAAGGAAAATGTAAAACAATTACTTGATAAATACAGAAGCATTTAATTAATTGTGAACATATCGCTCCGAAAGAGTCTTCTTTTAAAGTCATCTACAGAGTCGAAAGAATTGGATCGAATGGTTGTCTAAGCAATATTTTATACACTGCTGAGGCATTGGCAATCCATGAACTCAAGCCTAAACTCTCATCCTTCCTTGGCTTTAATTCACTTGATTGGTATTTTTCGTTTTTTTCTCTTCTTCACTTCTAAATAATTTATTATTTGTTGAAATATATACCGAATATTCAGTGTTTTCATTTATCCCGTTGTGACTGGAGTTATGATAATGAACTGAGAGAAATGTATACTTTCAGATAGTATTGAACTTCATATAAAAAGCATCGCTTTACATGTTTAACCGTATTTAGCATGTTAAGTGATTAGAAGTTAATGTTAGGAAACTCTACCTAACCTAAGTGTAATACTAGTTGATACTCGTTAGAGCACCTAGACGTATTTTTAATCTTGCGATAAATGATGCTCATTGTGAGATTTGAATTCATGTCATAGGCGTTAACACTGAGCTAGTTGGCCCAAAACTGACTTCTTGTAGAATTGATAATATTGACACTGTTTAATCACTGAGTTATTTTTATGTAATCTTCAGTATTGTCGAATAGATCACTATATAAAAAGGCGTCAAAAGGTTGCAGCTGTCATACTCATGAATGGAGTCGAAGATGATCATCATTCTTGTTAATTTTTCATTATTTCATGTAATTGATTTCTATTAGCTTATATTCATTTCATGTACATCTACTGACATTACGTAGAATCAAAAGTTTTAATCTGATCAAAAATCTCAGTTTAACGAAGGTAGACTTAGATCTTACTGTGTATTATTGATCAAAAGCTTGAACTTAATCGATCCGACTATATTCGTTCTGAGAAAGTAATTTAATCGATGATATTGTATTTAAATTGTACTGCTATGCAATTTATTTTAATTTGTATTAGACTTCTTTCAACAGAAGAGTCTTTTTAGTTTCATAGAAAACACTATACTAATGAGTCACTGAGTTGATATCCATCCAACAATATGGGGTATTGGATGCTAACTCTGTTGCTCCTACTTGCGGTATCATGTTCGGAACGTGATTTTAAGCTCCTGAGTTGGGTTCTATGTAGGGTTGTGGTTTGTATAACTGTTAAGGAGAACCATATAAGTTCTTTGATTTGGTATTTTAAATTGTTTTTCAGTGTGAGGTTTAAAAACATTCATTGAACCAGTTGGTTATGACTTGTCATGTTTGCCTAACCACCTCCTATCTTGGTGGGCGTTATTTTAATAGTATAGAAGTAGGTTGGAAGAAAGCTAAGAGCGGCGAAAACGAATGGTAACATTATTCTATGAAGTTGTTGATTTTCCAACTAAGCGCTGTTGTCGGGTTTAGAATACAAGATTTCAGTCCGTAGGGTTATCGTAACCAATAATTAATTACTTTGGGTGACGTAGTTCAGAATCGATCATAACGACGAAGATAGACTCATTCTTCATCCTTTTTCTAGATCTTGGGTTCCAGTATGCTTTCATGAATACCTTCTCGTCTTGTCCTTTTGGATCATCTTATTATTATTATTATTTTTGCTACTAAATTACTTCGATTTTTCTCCTACCCATCTTATTAATTTCATCTCGTTGTGTTTATGTTGTCTGACAACTTAAGGAAATACACATTTGTTTCAGATTCTATGTTGGTTACTAGTTACTTTTTATAATTAAATAAAAGTTTGACAATTCCTCAACCAGTAAATTTTAACAATTTAGTTGACATTAATGAATAGTGAAATTCAATCAACCATTCATAATGATCAGTGTAGGGTCGTAGAGATTATTTATTTTTTTGATTGAGAACATCCACGATCCCACTTGCAGGATTCAAACTCAAGGCCTTAAGTCTCGCTCGCGAACACTTAACCTCTAGAGATCCCGCTCACGGGATCGTGGACGCGCACTGCTGAAAAGTCCCACAATAGGACCAAACGCCCATCCAGTGCTTCCAGATTTTCAATGGTTGTCTAACATCAATCGGTTCATGATCTCATTTATAATAATTTCTATTTTTATTTTCCCAATTAATTTATACTTGGATACATAAATGGTAATGATTGAAATTGATGATCATATCATAGAAATGAACTATTCTGTGTTTTATTATAGTTGTAGAATTAAAATACATGTAATTTATACTTGACCTTTGAGTTGATATTTAGAATGGTTACGTGTATACAAATCATGTTTAGTATAATTTGATTTGATTATTGTATAGCACAAGCAATTTGATCATAATATCTATGTTTCATATTAGTGATTGATTAGTGTTAAATAACAACTACAATTATAACTACTATCTTGATTTAGTGATTATAGTTGTATATCATGACAACCGAATTGTATGAATGTTGGATTGAACGTAGTACAATTGTACTACTTACTAAAGATAGAATTGTTTCTAATGATAGTCAATTGTGCATAGATAACTTGTTGTCTTAATTTACATGTTTATTCCATTTAAGAGGATCCAAAAATATAGGGATTTCTTTCAAGAAAGGAGCTGTTACTTAGTTCTTACTAGGTATCAGTTGATAATGATGTTGCCATTGTTGATCAGATCAGGAAATCATCATTTTCGAAGCCAATTCATTATCCATTAGGCTAGTTGATCACATTAACCTCCAAATAGTTCAATAATTATGACAAATTTAAACATTTACAGCGGAAGTGTTTTTGTACTGATTGAATAAAAATGTTGACTTTCTTAAGTAACTACCAAATCAACAAAGACATTTAGATGCCAGTTAAAGTTCTGACTGGACAAAACGTTTATACCGTATCTCAATACTTGTCACTATCAAATATTTGTATCATATTTTGAAACAAAAGTGATCATCAAATAAGAATATCCCATCAGAAGAAAAGGATGGTAGCTAGCAGTGAAATCGAAGACTCGTGCTTCATCCTATTTGGGACTCTTCAGCTAGATGTACCTGCATCTCAGCATTGATTTTCACTTTAGGACTCGAACCCAGTATCATTCGCTTCAAATGCCATCGCGTTATCCACTTATCTACTGAGTTCAATTGATTGTACAATGAGGTGAAGTTAAATTCACTTGGTACTATTTGCTTGAATCTTCCCATTGTTATTTAGGATTGAAATTGATCAACCTATCTCTTATTGATGTATGTGCAATACGCAAAGGATGCCCATGTGCCAATAAGTGACTGATCAATTGCACTGTTAAACATCAATGGGAAGATTCCAGTAAACAATACCAAATGAAATCAGAAGAAATTTTTTGCTAAATGTTTTATTTCAATGGTTAAGATCATGAGTCAGTTGAAGCTAGACCACCATGGAAAACCTGGAAGTACTGGACGGCCGTTTTGTCCTATTGTGGGACTCCTCACCAGTGCGCAACCACGACCTCCCCCCTGCGATATTCGAACCCAGGACCTACTGGTTTCGCGCGCGAGCACTTAACCACAAGACCACTGAGCTGGCCGGCATCCAACGGTGTTAATATCTAACTCCAACTAATCCACAAAATTGAGCTAAACATCCACCATTGTCTTCAGTGAGTTACTATCTCACAACAGACCTGGTTGAACTCCATTGGTCACTACTTATTTTAATCTTTGAAATGTTTTTAAATTTATTTTGTATTTCCATAGGTTTAATTAATAATCGTAAAGTTATCGACAGTCTAATGAATAATTTGGAATATTCTACTAAAAAATTGCATTTATTACATAACGAATATTGTTTGGCATTGATCACTGCCAATCATTATCAACAATGGCTATATACACATTTACGACCATGTCTACTTAAAGGTGTTGAACGTACTATGCAATTGGCCTCGGAAGTTGTGTAAGTTGTTGTTATGGTGTTTTGTCAGTATTTTGTTTCGTTTCCTCACTGGTCGATATCAGTTTTATTTATAGAAGTTTTTTTCGTAATGTCCATTACTTTAAATGTCTTGAAGTACTTGATTTTCAACTAAAAAATCGCTGGTTTCAGTTTAACTTCACCTACCTTGATTTAGGTGAACAGATCGTATTAATAGTCTGAAAGTATAGTGATGTGACCTGAAGTTTATTACATAATACCTGTACTTGTTACGTGAGTTTTGTTCGCATTTTCGATTCCACCGTGACTTTGTTACTATTTCATGATTTAGTCTGGTCCATAAGATTTTTGAATTATTCACGTTAACATTGTCTGAAATCAAAAATCGAACTGTGTGTTTGAAGCGAACTTTTCATTAGTAATACTGTGAATGTAAGGTTTTAACTTATGGTTATGAACCATCCACTATTGGGTAGATCCCAGCCTCTTAGTCAAAAATTTTGTTTACAGTTTGAGGTAATAATATTCACTTGGAAATTATCTAGGGTTTTATACTAGGATCAAATATTTAATTGGGTTAGAAACTATCATGCTTATCTCCAAGCTTTTCGTCAATATACCATTAATAACAATACTGAGTAAGTTAATTATCTTTGTTATCTATGACCTGTTTGATCACCTAATATGCTTGTTCCAAATACCTGATCAACTGTTCCTTTCATAGTTAGAAGACAAAGACACTTTCAAAATCCTCATCCTTGAGCTACAATGATATCCTTGTTCATGTTAAGGGAATTTTGTCCTTCAATAATATTATGTGTAAGTGGCTGAGATGTACTTTATCCCTTACTTGACCAATGCTTACTCAAAGCCTTGTAATGTATGTGTGTATAAAAACTTATTATCAGTCCATGAAGCCACCAACTGTTGGCATAAGCCGTGTTGGTGGATGTAAAATACCTGCCTAGATTCAGCATGACAACTGTGATTAGTGATTGGAGACGTTGGGTGACTTAGCCCAGGATCGTCACAATTGCACAGATGGTTTTAATCCTTATATTTCCATCGACCTTGAGATTCAGTATTTCTTCATCTTACTTTCCATCTATCCAAAACATTTTCTCTTATTTTTCCATTTAACTCGGTCACTACATTATTTCGATCTTCTCAATTCACAATTCATTATGCTATTGTTTTGATAACACGGGAAAACGAACATTTGTGTTATGTTGTACGTTATTATCATGAGTGGTAAGAGCTTTGTCATTTTTTTGTATACGCTTAGTTTGTGAATATGATTGAATAATCGACAAACAATTTGATACTCTTTATAAAACAGGCTATTTACATACTTAAAAAGACTTACTATGGCATATGAGTAGTGTCATGGTAACGTTGAAAATAATTTCTTATCAATGCATCATACATTCTTTCTTCTTATCAATAATTTAATATTAAAATGAATATTTTTCTTTCATTTTCTCTATTGTTTAATGGATAGGAAAATGTTTGATTAGAGTATTTAAACTACTTACTGTCATATTGATATCAAAGTTCTAACTATTAATTCTATTGTTGAGATCATAAGCCAATCGAAGCTAGACCACCGTGGAAAACCTAGAAACACTGAACGGCAGTTTCGTCCTGTTGTGGGACTCATAAGCAGTGCGCATCAACGATCCCGCCTCACGAGATTCGAACCCAGGACCTATCGGTCTCGCGCGTGAACGCTTAGCCTCTAGACCGCTGAGACCGATAGTTCTTGGGTTTAAATCTCGCGAGGCAGGATCGTCGATGCGCGACGCTGAGGAGTTCCACAGTGGGACGAAACAGCCGTCTAGTGCTTCCAGGTTTTCCATGGCGGTCTAGTTTCAATTGACTCATGATATCAACTATTAAAATTACTATAATATCCACAAAACCACAAAAAATCAGGGAAACAGCCATTTTAATATGACATTACACTATGAAGTGAAGTTATGTTATTTAAGACATGAAATCTAAGCAAGTGGTATTTTATTATTGTGGAAGTTTTGTTCAATCTTCGTAATTCTACATCACGAACTGAATTTAACTTACCTAAATGTTGTATACCAGAGAATACAGAATTGGTGTCTTGTCCTAGTGGTAAGAGATTAAATGATACGTGTCCGTGATTACATGAGGGATTGGACTCTGGACCTTTAGGCGTTACGGCGTGTGCATGTATTTCAAACCAATTAGTTGTTACTCAACATTATAAACTGATTAAAGCTAGAAATGTAAACTATTTAAAGTCGAGCGTTTGTTATAATGTCTGACGGTTCTAGGTTCTTTTGTTCTCAAAGTTCACACTTCATCTCATAGATAACTGAAGCGTCTGCTGTTTTAAGGAGCTGAGAAAATTTTTTTGGAAGATTAGAGTAGATTTTTCAAACGGCATATAAGTTAGTTGAGCTGTCACACAATTAATTAGGTGTTCATACATTAGACTCTGAAATTTCTTTTCTTTCATCCTTTTGGAATGAAACGGTAATATGTACTCTTATGTGTTGGTAGCTAATTATAGCTGCTTCCAATGCACTACTCTGTAGGGGAATGGTCAATTTAGACTTACTTTTGAATTATCTATGAATATTGTTAAGAAAAATAATTAAAACTGCACAAGCAGACCATCCATCCAGTTAGGAGAATTGAAAATTTATGAGTATACATTAATGTTAAGAGGCGAGAAAAATATCTTACACGCATACAGAAAACAGTTTTCAGCTTGTAAAACTCATCCGGAACTTTCTTGTATGTAGCTTTTATCAAACAGACGGATCTACGCAATTACAGGTTTAAGGTCAACATGAACCAATCAACATTGTGGTCTACAAGACAAACTGTGAACCACATGTGAAGAAATTCGCACACTTCACTTCTGCCTGAATTTTATGCTGATGATGTCGTCCAGAAGAACGATGAAAGCTCCACGACCAAACCATCCAGCTCAGAGAACAAAACTCCGTGAAAATCATCCACCTGAACTACAAATCTTCTCCACCGACGCATTTACAGTTTGATAATAAATTTGCTGCAAACAGATATGTCCGTTGAATCTGGTATTTTCGCTATCCTATTGAGAATCATTCTAAAAACAGTCTTGTTGAATTGAAATCTCTTGGTTTCGTTATGACATCCTGGAAAGAGAGTCAAAAAGTGATACAACCCCATCAGTTTCAGACAGATGATCAGATATATCTTATGATAAACTAGACTTAAATGTAATCTTATTAGGCATTCACAGGATATATTCTGCCAATCATCTGTTTTTTTCCCGGTTGTGTTCATCACGGATTATTCCCATCTGAAGCATTATTGAAAAATAGGAAGGACTAATCAATTGTTTCATCTTAGTGCGACCACCTGGTCTTGGTGACCTAGTGGTTTAATCTGTGAGGAATTCATCCAAACGATCAAGTCGATCTCAATAAATTCTTTTTAACTAGAGTTTAGTAATCAGATTGCTAATAACTCATTTCAAGATATTCCTGAAGTTCTAGCGAAACGTCATGACTTATAGAGTCCAGATATATCGATAGTAAGACATTTGTTACTAATTTCATTGGATAATCATCGTACTACTTCACAAACTGGTTGGAATTTAAATTGTAATATTGGATGCTGACTCAGTAGTTCTAATGATTAAACGTTCACCACGAGATCTGTATATATGATACTAGATTGTTCCATACTAGGACAAAACAGTTTGTCCAGTAATCCCTGATATTGATTGTTTTTTGAACTTAAATCAATATTGTGACAAACATGACCTACACAGTTAAATTTATTGGGTTTTTTTTCATAGTGTTTAATTTACTTATCAAGTTTCTCTCTCTCTAAAAAAAAAAACTGTGCTACATACCTTTTGTTCTTCTAATATAATCGAAATTGATTTTATGCCAAGCACTCTCCTTCTTAGATATTGATTGTACTCATGCACACATACATGCATACACAGTTTACTTGTGTGTGTGTGTGTGATTTGTTTTTCTAGAGACCGGAATGTGATTGAACGTTTTATTTTGTTTGTTCTTGTATTTTTTTTTCTATTTTTTGTTTATGTGTTCTTTTTAATATGCTACTACAGTTTTATGTAAATGTACTCATAAATGAATTATTGTTTTCAAGTACTTTCATTATTGCCATTGTCATTTCTTTTTAGATATCAAAATTATTAAGATTAAGGTGATCTTTATTAAGTGTGCATTAGAAATAAAAATGATCCCTTGATGCTTTATGCGCTTAGACTTCCATAGGTCGAATTCAAATTCTATCTCTGTTGATTATGAATTTACCATGGTTATTATTTTAAAAGCGACATTCATCATAAAGTGCAGGTATTCGGAGTTGAGTTTCGTCGAAGCATTATTTGATTCTAATGAAACTAGTAGGCGAGATTGATTCCGAGCACCTTCAGGTTTTATCTCCTGATTTCTGCAGCCATCTGGAAGACTCTCCCGGTCTCTCACATTGTTCGAGCATTCCATGTACCTAAATAAATGGCTGCTGTGGTTACCAGAAGGGGCATAAGCCACGTGACTTCCGAAGGAACTCGGATTTCACCATGAGGCGTCATAACTCTTCTAAATGAAGACCTTCTGACTCTCAGGGCAGAGTTCAAATAGTTTGAATAATTTTTTCTGGTTAGCGTTTTTTCAGAAGTTTTCTTCTACGGGATGGGGTCTCTAACCCCATAACTAACCCTCCTCCGTTATCCAGGCTTGGAACCGGCAGTATCCCCAGAGGGGCTCCAGGCGGAGTTTTATGAATTGACTCCCAATGGAGCATAGGCCGTCTACCAGCATTCTCCAATCCACTCTGTCCTGTGCCTTCTTTCCCAGTTCTGTCCAATTTTCGTTCATTTTTCTCATGTCTGTCTCCATTTCTCGGTGTAATGCGTTCTTTGTCCTTACTCTTTTCCTTTGACCTTGAGGATTCTATGTAAGGGCTTACCTTGTGACGCAGTTGAGTGCTTTCCCCAACATGTGTCCTATCCACTTCCAATGTTTCTTCCTGATTTTTTCCTCCACTGGGATCTGATTTGTTCTCTCCCACAATAGGTTGCTGCCGAGAAGTGTAGACAGACGAGAAAAGTGAACAAAAATTGGACAGAACTGGAAAGGATTGCTCAGGACAGCGTTGGTTGGAGAATGCTGATTAGCGGTTTATGCTGCACTGAGAGTAACAGGCGTACGTAAGTAGATGAGAATTGTAGTAGTTAGATGAAAAGTACTTAGCAAAGATGAATAATCAATTGATGAGGTTGTGAATCTTAAGCGATTGAGGTAAGTAGGATATATGTTTGGTAAGCTTAACCATAGCTTGCATCAACTCACTCACATATGGTACTAGGTAAGAATGACAAATTGATTGATAGATGAGATAGGGAATGTTTATTGACCGAGATTGTGGCAACATGTGTTACGTATGCCCACTCACCTCCACCTACCTCGACGTGCTATTTTGTCAGGTTTAGGAGTAAATTGGGAGAAAGCTAGAGGAGGCCCAACTAATACATGTGATTAATCATGAAAACAGTGAGCATTGAGTTAAGCGATGTTGGCAGGTTCAGACGACATGGTTTGGTGTACATGATTATTGTGATCAGTTGTTAGAGAATTTGAATGACATTTCTGTAAATCATTTGTGATTTCCTAGGTACATTAACTGTGTTGTTTTCCCTGAAATCCTCAGTTTCTAAATTCATCATAAATGTTTGTCAAGATTTCACGAATTCAATTTTGTGGAATTGTATTTTGAATTCCGAATCTTTTCTGTTATGACTATCGTTACATTCTTTACAGCTGTGGGATTCGAATTGAAAATTTCATCTCACTGTGTTAAGGTTAGGATTGTGGCGACGTAAACTGATGTACGTATGTGTCAGGTTCTACTATCGGGCTGATTGATTGATACTTTCGTTGTGATCTATCGGGTGTTAGAGGGTGATTACAATTGGGTTATTGTGTGTAATTTATCAATAGCTTTAAAACTGGAATTCTGTATTATATCATGTACATTCTAAACTTGAGTATATGGTAATATTAAGTGAATGTGGCGAATCGTTTGATCAGTTTGTAAATCTTCATCGAATAAAAGTGATTGAGATATGTATTTCTAACTACCATCTTTGTCTATAGAGATGTTTGTTGATGTAATTGGTTGGTAGAACGCTATTATTGGCTAAATCAACACTGCGTCACTTTGATCGATTCTGAACCATGTCATTCAAGGTCTCCAACCACTGATCATGGTTATTTTGCAGACCTCAACAAGATAGTTTGCACCTACCGATATATATATATATATATATATATTTCTATGCCGCTCAGCCTCTCGTCTGGATGTAGGTAACGGTTAAGCCACGTCAGCCGGTGGGAATTAAAAACTTCATTAAATGATTTCCCATCCTTGCCTAATACTCCCTATATAACCTCATCATTTCTCATTTTGTCGTTCCATGATATACGTATAATGCTTCAAAGATATTCGTGATCTAAAAGCCTTGAATTTTGTCATATCTTCTGCTTTTATGTACGACATCTCATAATCATAGAGTAATTCTCGCCTTTTGGCTGATAAATAGTCACCTCGCATACTCCATAAGCGTTACAACTTGTTGTATAAAACTAACACAATAGAATTTCTTATCTTCACTAGTCCTGCTATTTGATAAGAAATGTCTTAATTACGAATCCATAATGGTTAAAAATACATTTTAAAAGTTTTATTTTTGCCATCTAATAACTCATCTCAGTCGGATGATAGTTACTATCTTTCAAGTATTCCTTCAGCTCCATACAATATAGGATACTACTAGTTGAGTGACAATTGTATTTGTTGCCAGTTCATGTGTTTTAAGTGTAAATTGTTTCTTTATTTATTGTATAGATGATGTTAGACTATATCGTGAGTTAAAAAGTTAATTATCACTGACAGAATCGGATGATAGTCTTACAATTTTGAGAAGTGACTGAATTTAGAAATATGAACTATTGAAGACTAATTCAGTGTTTCTGAAGGTTAAACACTTTCTGAATGCCTCAAATGTTCCACGTAAGATTTCTGGTAAGTAATTGCTGATGATAATAATCGTGCAATGCTTCCTAGTTTTCAAGCCAGCTATAATCAGTTTGTGATGTAAATCTTAGGATTCAATAGTTTCCACAAATCACTTCACACTAACAATAATCATGAACTTACTTACTTACGCCTGTTATTCCTAATGGAGCATAGGCCGCCGACCAGCATTCTCCAACCCACTCTATCCTCCGCCTTCCTTTCTAGTTCCATCCAATTCTTGTTCATTTTTCTCATGTCTATCTCCATTTCCCGGCGTAATGTGTTCTTTGGTCTTCCTCTTTTCCTTTGGTCTTGAAGATTCCATGTGAGGGCTTGTCTTGTGACGCAGTTGGGTTCTTTCCTCAACGTGTGTCCTATCCACTTCCAGCGCTTCTTCCTCTGCTGGGATCTGGTTTGTTCTCTCTCATGAACTTAGTGGTGATTAATTTCGATAGGTAAGTTCTGAAGTTCTAGCGGCATGTACATGAACAATGTAGTTCACCCCATGTTTACCTAGCGTATATATTCAACATCTTTCTAAAAACTACTTATTTAATGTATTAATTGTTATTTTCTTTTTTCAATTTTTTAATAGCTGGCATCTTCTAGTTTTTGGTGGTGAAAATATAAATCATTTTCAATCGAATTGGCTTAAAGAATTTCAATCTGAATTAGATTTAACAAGCTTATTAGAACAAAATGGGTAAGTTAATGACTGAGTTCATTATGATTCAATAATTTTTATAAAACATAAATTAACTTTATAAGTAAAGATGGATAATGCCTAGCAGTGAAATTCAGGAGGCACATTTCGTCCTACTTTGAACTCGTCAGCTGGATGTACCTGTATCTCAGAGTTGATGTTCACTCCAGGACTCGAACCCAATACCATTCGCTTCAAACGCCATCAAGTTATCCACTTATTGACTTGGTCTTGATAGCCATTTGCTTGTACAGTGGGGTTAAAGTTTAAATTCACTTGATACTGTTTGCTTGAATCTTTCTTAGGTACATTATAATTTCGATAAAGTTCTATGATGTTCTCCTATCCACACTGTTGAATGCTTTCTCAAAATGAAAGAAGTTGATGTATAGTGACGAGTACAGATATGATAGTAATCATAATAATACAAAGAAACAGACGAATTGTTACTGTTTGAATAACACTGTCTATTAAATAAGCTAATAAATAGGCTCGACAAATTAACCATGATCAAAATTAGTTATAGGAAGGTTGCTGTAACCTAGCCCTCCTATCCCATGCTCATGAACAAATGCAAATGAAGATAACTCGTGTAGCAGAAGCATCTGCATCAGTAGGCCTCAACATACACAAGAGGAAAACCAAGGTCTTCAAATACAACACAGAGAACACCAACGCAATCACACTTGATGGCGAAACTCTGGAAAATGTGGAATCATTCAAATATCTTGGAAACATCATCAATGAACAAGGAGGATCAGATGCAGACGTAAAGGAGAGGATTAGCAAAACAAGAGCCGCATTCCTACAATTGAAGAACATATGCAACTCAAAACAACTGTCAACCAATATCAAAGTCAGAATCTTTAATACGAACGTCAAGGCAGTTCTAGTGTACGGAGCTGAAATGTGGAGAATTTCTACAACCATCATCAAGAAGGTACAAGTATTTGTAAATAGTTGTCTACGCAAGATACTCAACATCCATTGGCCGGATACAATCATCAACAGCCTACTGTGGGAGGGAAAAAACCAACTTCCAACTAAAGAGAAAATTAGGAAAAGACGATGGAAATGGATAGGACATACATTGAGGAAATCATCGAACTGCATCACGAGGCAAACCCCAATTTGGAATCGTGAAGGGAAGCGGAAAAGAGAAAGGCCAAAAACAACACATTACCTCGAGAAATAAAATCAGGTATGAAATGGATGAATGACAACCGAAAAGAGCTGGAAATGATTGCTCAGGACAGGGTTGGATGGCGAATGCTAGTGAGTGGCCTATTCTCCTTCATGAGGAGTAACAGGCATAAGTAAATAAGTTGCTGTAACTTCCATGGCTTATAATAGTTTGCATTGAAACTTCAATAAAATTCATTTCAAAATAATTCTCTAGTTGAAATGTAATTTCCATTGAGTTTAAAGATGATTACACAAAGGAGGCATATCATTTTTGTTTCTTATTTCTTTTTAGTTTCCAATAGTTCTATAGAAATGATATCAATTCAAGATGAAAATCACCTTCAATTTATACATTAAATCTTCACAAATGAAAGCTAATTTATAGATATGATACATTTTTTTTGGCTTCACTATTATATCTCCTAGTTGTTATTATCTTCATTGTTGTTAATATTTTCTCTTATTGCAAACTATTCATCACATCTTTTATTTTATCTATAGAGTACAATTTCCTGGACCTGTATATCATACCTTCAATCAGCATTAAATAATAATACAACAATAAATGGAAATCTTTCTCCTGGTTCTTTAATTGTTAATGATTTAACTGGACAATCATTAATTGAATTGTAAGCGTTTAGTTTCTATCTTTGATTTTAGTATCTATCCAATAAACGATGAATGAAATAATCTTCAAGCAGGTATAAGTATTGTGTGATTTCATATCACTTAGTAATGCAAATTGATCACACACAAAAAAACCCAAGTTAACAAGCGGAAAACTTGAGAGATTACCATTTTTTCCAATATAATTTATTAGCAAATGTAGTCAAAATTCAGTCATCATTAATGTATGTTCCATGTTGAATATCTATCAATGCAAACTATTACTTGTTACTTCACTTGATATTGTTTTACTTGAATCTTCCCATTGATGTTTTAGGACTGAAATTGATCAGTCTCTTATTGGCATATGTGAGAGACTGATCAATTTCAGTCCTAAAACATCAATGGGAAGATTCAAGTAGAACAATATCAAGTGAATTAAACTTCAACCCATTGCACAAGCAAGTGGCTATCAGGACTCAGTAGCTAAGTGGATAACGCGATGGCGTTTGAAGCGAACGGTACTGAGTTCGAGTCCCAGAGTGAACATCAACTCTGAGATGCTGTACATCCAGCTGACGAGTCCCAAACAGGACGAAACGCGCGTCCTGGATTCCACTGCTAGCCACTATCCATCTTTGCTTATATTACTTGTTACGTCGGTATATATATAAAGTGAAAATTAAGATAATAAGTAAAAACAAACATACCTATCCACTTCAAACCATAGTTGTATTTCTCGACCTTAAAGTAGTGTTTGACTCCGTAGATCGATTTGTTTTACGGTATTATTTGGCATTTTACGGGCCCTCTACTTGACATTATTGGTCAAGTCAAAGCGTGTGGCGAAGTATGGTTAAAATCGATAACCTCGAATGGTGTCCGGTTAGGGATGCCTACTCTCCTTGTTTTTATTTAACTTTGTCACAGACATTCTTTTAGGAGTGGGACTCGCATTATCTAATCTATCATGAATCAATCTACTATCAGTAGATTAACTTGTTAACTTAGAATGTACAGATGATATAATTCTATTTGACGAATACACTGTGAAAATGCAATCTTTTATTCTCTTTGAGCAACAATACAAGAATGCTTTGGATGCAGTTCCCTCCATCTAAATCCCAAATGTTGCGGCTGGATTCGCCTTGATCAACTCTTGAAATAATGATAGGGAGTGAATTATTTGAGGGTGTCAAACTTTTCACTGGTCTTCTGCTATTTAACGAAATCTCAGTTTGGTTTTGTCAACTTACATAACTTCTGGTGTAGGCTAGATATCCGTCTATCACCTTGACTTTGTGATTAAGGAGCGTGGTCTTTAAATTAGTGGTTTATTTCTCATTTGTTAGTATTCCATTATAGATGGCTTTGAAGCATTGTTCGTGCATACAAATAATAATTTTAAAACTAGAATACTGTACTACATCGTGTACATTCTGAACTTGAGTATATGGTAATAATAGGTGAATGTAGCAAGTCTTTTGATCAGTTTGTAAATCTTCATCGAATAAAAGTGATTGAGGTATGTGGTACGTCTTTCCAACCACCATCTTTGTCTATAGAGATGTTTTTTTTATGTAATTGGTTGGTAGCACGCTAGGTGAGGCTAAATGAACACTTCGCACCAGTCCATGAAGTAATTGACTACTGGGTCCATCATGTCGGAATTCAAACTACTTGATTGGATTTCACGTGACAACTCCAGTCATTAAATGGAGACTGAGTAATATATTTTAGAATCATTCACAGTCCTTCAGATTTATTTCCTCTTTACGTTCCACTTGGTCTAGAATTCTAGTTACGCTTCACTCATTCGTTTTCATGTTAGTCTTATTGAACCGTATTCCAAGTGTTTAGTTTTTCTCATTATCATTACTATTATATTATCTTGACCACTATTATTATTCATCTCAATGATTTCATTTCATGATAGTGTGTTTTACCAACTTGGGCTAACGAACATCTCTGTCAAACTCTATGTGGATGATGATTGAGCGATCTACATAATTAATGTGTTCATAATATTTACTGGTTTAACTCATTTTTACTTCCTTTTTAACAGAACACAATTGCATAAAAATAAGGAATTATTGCATAGAGAAACCGTTAATCAAATGACTAAAGAATGTTTACAATGGGAAGAAGCATTATCTCAATGGCGTGCTGTGTTTGCTAATCCAGGTCCTAATCCATGGTCATCAAATTTATTCAATATACATTCATCTAGTGTTTCACCAATAGTTAACACTCCACAAGATAATAATTCAAATGGATTTCATAATGTAGATAATTCAAGTCATTTAGCGTTGCCTGATATCCAAGATCTTTGGCATGATGATCGAGCTCGACCTGTTAAGTAAGTTATACCTTTTTGTTAATCAGTTGTTTAAATAATTCATTCTATACTGACTAATCACTGAAATGTAAATATTGACGTATTTGTCTAAGTCTTTTACTGATAATCGAATTCTGTCGATAAAATTGCCATTTTAACTATTAACCTAAGTAACTAAACATAGCGGTATGCTATGTTCGAACACTACATGTGGTTACTGTTAACTGACAATCTCCATCAAGACATATGCGGTTTTTATGATGGGATGTATGGTTTCCTGGGATTCGGACTCGCGTCACGAAACGGTAGGTATTGTAAGAGACATTTCGGTAGGGTTATCTGAGTTGCAACTGACCTTTTTTGGGATTAATACATTTACACTGATCAGTCAATGAGTAGTGACCAATGTCATCTATATGTAGTCATTTTTGTGATTCTGTTGTATGGATAAGTTGCGAAGCGGTCATTAGTTTAATTAATATAACTAAGCCTCGTCGTGTGGGATCCTGAGCTTTCTATAGATTGATTTCAATCACGATATTTTCTGTTTTCTAACTTTCTATTCTGACTTCATAAATCAAGGCATCCTTCCTAATGATATTATATGTAACTTAAACCCATAGGTAGTTTGTACTGAAGGAAGCTGCGAATTTTGTGTTCATGAACATATCGAGATAATTCAAGAGGAATTGGTCAGGTAGGATTTGCCTAAATTTTAAGGGGGTGAGTATCGAGGCGAGTAATTTCCAAGTTGCTAGCATCTTACCAAGTTACCCATATTTGTATTCTGTTCCAGAGAGATCGTGCCCAAAGGGAAGAATGTTCGTAAGAAACATTCGAACAGTATTCAACGTAAAGCTATCGTCCAAATAGTGAGGGCTCACAAACAAAACACGAATCTTACAAACGTACATAACATCTTATAAAGTTCAAAAAAACGAAAGATAGGTTAAATACTTTGAAAAATTAAACGCCAGCGTAAATCCACCAAATAAATAGCAAGTGAACCCGAAGAACTAAATATATTCTTCGAAGGAATAGAGATGTCACTAACTGTCGATAATTCCTGGAAAAACTCTTCTAACGTTTGTGTCCCTTCCTGGTTGATTTGTTACTAGTTATGTTACTAATTTTCGTGTAATACTAGAAGCTTCTGTAATCTCTACGTACATCAGTTTAAGCCCTTTGATCTTATAACTGTGCTTGAAATAAATAATATAATAACAACCGGATAAATATAAACTCGTACTAATGAACATCATACCCATTGTGGAAAGGTTAGTCGTTATCTGGATACAGTTGCTCAGTTTTAAACGATCAGTCAGTGGTCTTGAGAACTATTAAAGGTATGAGGGCAGTTATCACTTCCCGGTTGCCCACACCGAGGAAGGGTTCTTCTGGAGGTACCTGAAAATGAAATTGGATTAGAGGTGGTCTTAGTGACCTGAGAGCGTGACCGCAGTGCCCAAGGGACAACTGCTTGAGGTTGGTCATACACGACCTTCTTGTGAGTAATGTTTGTGTTAGCTCCGTACTTGTTGAGACCTTACCGCCGGAGACGGATATCCGTGGGATAAAGTGAGATGTGCATTTTTAGGGTCGACCTTTTCTAACCTCACCCCTCCTTTTGGGAAGGCAGCATCGCTGTCATGCTGGTTGTCTGAAGGAAACAGCTTACTGCTGTCACACCTCTGTACAGTCAGCAGTACGACTTCGCTCTCGGACCTTGGGTTTGTTGCCTTTAGTCTTACCGTTCTTCAACCGACCTGTCTGGCACGCTAAGACCTTGAGGAACGATTGTTCCAGCCAGTTTATCTCGGTTGCTTCATCACGATAGTCAAGTCCGACTACCACGTCAAAGTAGCACCATTGGTCGGGGAAGCAATCAGTACGTGATTCAAGTTTCAGTATAGATATCAACACTAGAATGTAAATGGTTTTAGACATTAAATTCCAAATAGAATGAAATACTCTTCTTGTATTTTACTGTTATATCATATATCTCATACATATTTCTATTCTTTTATTTCACTTCTCCTTTTTTTCTTTCATTTCATTACTCTACAAAAATAGTCTTTGTGAAGTATCATTTCGTTTAGCAATTTGTGAATTTGAATTATGTTTTGCTAATTGTCTTGCTGATTCAGAAGCTCAATTAGTTAATGTATTAACTGATGCTCAATGTCGTTTGAATTGGCTTTCATTAAAATTACTTACAAATGATCCAACTACAGGTTATCCAAATACACCAGCTACATTTTTACGTGATTCTTGTGATGTTACTACTAATAATACTACTAATGGGAATAATAATAATAATATAATAATAGTGACGATATAGATATGCAAAATGGGACTGATGATAATTGTAGTCAAGCTTTGAATGGTCATGATAATTCAGTAAGTGTTATTATCATTATTATTTTTTGAATGTTTAATATTCCAACGTTATGATTTTGTGTGCATTCAAACTCTCATTGTATCTTCCTACAGAATTGCCAGAGTTCTTGATTTATATTTTTAAGTAAACTATTCTACTTTTAGAAGGGGTTTTGTGGATATTCTAGTAAATTGAATAGTTGAGACAATGATGGATGTGTCGCTCAATTTCGTGGATTAGTTAAAGTTAGACATTAATATCGTTGGATGCCGACTCACTGGTCTAATGGTTAAGCGATCGCGTGCGAGATTGATAGCTCCTGGGTTCGAATCTCTCGAGGCGAGATCGTGGATGAGCACTGTTGAAGATTCCCACAATAGGATGAAACGGCCGTCCAATGCTTCCAGGTTTTACTTGGTGGTCTAGCTTCATGATCTCAGCTATTCTAGTTTCATTAACTCAACGTTTTCTTATAGACCACTGTAGGAAGAAATAAAAACAAGTCTTTCAGAAATAATAAAATTCAGTAATTATGTAGCAAGACACTAATTGTTGTACAATAGTGTCAGCATTCAATGAACATCTTGTCTGCGTTACATGCAATTAAATATAAATCACCATAAACCTCAATTTTCTATTAGCTAGCCCTCATAAGGAAGGTGTATCCGCAATCCTGGTTAGTTGATACTGGATGATTTCACTTTGAACTCTACGATGTACATCTCTTACGAAGAAATAAATAACTGTATGATTGACATTTTGATGTTCGAAAAGATGAGTATTTGTTCAGGAATTTGTTGGATCTATAAGTAATTAGAGCCTGTTGAATATTTAGTTACGCTTAGATAAAATATATATATTTAAAAGTAAGCTTTCATGTCTTTAACTGTGTTCTCAATGCTTGTGAATTCCTCACGGCATTCATGATCAATAGATGGAGACCTCAGGTGACATGAGTGAAAATTGATTTATGGTGATGTAGATGCATTTATTCTCTGGCTCTTTCCATACTCTAAGTTTCACTATTGTTTTATACTTCCTTTATTCCATGAATACATTACTTTTCATATTATATTTTCTGTGTCCAAGCTTTTCCTTTAGTTATGATTGAGACTTTATTTTTTTCACCAACGTTCTACAATGATTATACTTGACTGAATTTGTTCAAGTTTAGGAAAGTGCTCAGTTTTGATATACTGATTCTCATTACTGAGGAGTCACATACTAGGACAAACGATCGTTCAGTGTTTCTAACTTTGCAATGGTAGTCTAACATCGATCGATTTTATAATTTCATTCAAAATCTTAACATTCTCTACAACCTCATACTGATAATTAAAATCAAATTAACTCAATTGTTATCTAATCATCCATTGTGCTCCAATGTTTGCATTACAACTGTGATGTTGATTAACCGATTTCTCAGTATTTCACTTGATATTTTTGCTTGTATCTTCCCATTGAGGTTTAAGGCTGCAATTGATCAATGGAAAGATACATGCAAAAATATCAAGTGAGTTTTAATTCACCCCATCGCACAAGCAAGTGGCCATCAGGACTCAGTAGCGTAGTGGATAACGCGATGGTGTTTGAAGCGAATGGGACTGGGTTGGAGTCCCTGAGTGAACATCAACTCTGAGATGCTGTACATCCAGCTGACGAGTCCCAAATAGGACGAAACGCGCTTACTGGATTCCACTGCTAGCCACTATCCATCTTTGTTTATCAGTATTTATTTTGTTAAATATTTGAGCTTTAATGTTGACAGCTTATTGACAATTGTCTGACAATTTTTCTAAATCCGATAACATGAACTATCACAGAGACTGATAGGTTCTCGGTTCGAATCTCGCGAGGCGGGATCGTGGATGCTCACTGATGAGGAGTCCCACAGTAGGATGAAACGGCCGTCCATTGCTTCCAGGTTTTCCATGTTGATCTAGCTTCAACTGACTCATGATCTCAACCGTTGAAATTACTGCAATATCCACAAAACCCCTTCTGATAATAATATGCGTTTATATAAAACTCTTTTTTGCTTATATAAGTACATAGTTTTCTATCATATCTCATTTATATATTTGATTTTACCACATATATGTATACATCATGAATATGGTATCTAATTGAAATAGGGTGTTTATTCGGTCACAAATATATCTCACATTCTTTGTACATATATAGATATACATAACATTGATTATGAATATTAATCAATGATTAGATCAGGGTAATGTATTTAGTATAATTACCAAGATAAAGATGAAGTTTGATGATAATGATGATTCTCTATAGATCTATGTGTTTTCTTTTATTGTGTGTTTTTCGATGTGATTCAATCTATGATGATTGGTTGATTTTTAATGAAACGAATATAGTTAGTAAATAAGAATCTTATCATTCGTTTGTTTGTTTGTTATGATGTAATACTTGTAACCTATCACTTGTATCATTCAGCTTCAATTCAGTTGTCACTAGATTAACTATTGGTTCATTGTGTAATTATACCTTATTATTGTATATTAGATTATCTAACTTGTAGTTTCCATGTTTCATTGAATTTATGCATTTTAATATTTTTTTCTCAAGATTCCCATTTGTAATCTAAGCGATTCATATTCTACTGATCTTCCTAAATTATTAACTGAACCAATATCCAATTCACCATTTGCATTATCTTTATCTAATACATCTGATATGTCATCTAGTATAGAACAACAACTACAATTACAACAACAACAACAACGTCCAGAACGCAATCGTCTTTGGCAAAGTGTTAGACAATCTATGTCGAAATTTCGTTCACATTTTATTCGTAATAATAATATTCGTTCATCAACAAGTTCTATACCAAATACACGTACATATCAATGTCGTCTTCGTGAAACTATTATCACTACTATACCAATATTAAATACTGTAAATGATAATAATAATAATAATAATAATAATAATAATAATCACTCGTTACATAATCCAACTATGAATGGATTAAATAATCAAAACTCTTTAGGTGAGTAGTTTTTAATATCCTTGATGAAAACAATCTAATTTGTTTAGATAAGTTATTTTATATGTGAAATAGACTTTGATTTTTTCCCTTATAAATTGTCTATTACTGAAACTAACCCTTTATTTTACAGATATTTAATAAAAGGTGTATATCCTGTTACTAAGTTATTCATTAATCTGGTTACCGATGCTAATGAGTGTATGGTATTGTTGTAGTGAACGACAACTCAGATGGAAAGGGGGTAATCCATATGTTGTTTAGGATGAAATTACAAAGTTCCTTAAGAAAATATGTAAACCATACATTAAATATATACTTTGCATATCTTCCTACAGTTTTCCTTCATACGCTTTATGATTCTTTCAATTCTATTGTTATTATAATTGATCTCTGATTCCTTTCCTGTTTGTCTTCAATTCATCTTTGATCGGCAGGTATTACACTTCTCATTACCATTATGTACTACTTATGTCTGTCAGTATAAGTAACATTCACCACAGTATAATATCTTACTTTATAAGCTAGAAAAAAAAATATATAAAACTAGCGATTAAACTATGTCAAAATATTAGTTAATAGAGTTATTATATGTTGTTGTTCTGTATGAACTTTTTGATCTGAATCAACAATATTGATCTTTATTGGAAGGTTTTAATTATTGTTGTGATCTGGCTAAAAAAAAAAAACAAATTGATCACAATAACGATGAATTTGAATATTTTCTTTCTTAAATTTTGATTTTCAATAGTTGCTAAGAAAAGATAAGTTTATCGACTTTTTATTAGGAACATATATGGTAATGGTTACTTTTTAAAAGGGTACTTTCCTACTTTGTATTTCTATAACAACATTAACTATTATCTAATTATGAATAAAGATGCATAGTGGCTAACAGTGGAATCCGATAAGCGCGTTTCTTCCTGATTGGGACTCGTAAGCTCTATGTATCTGCATTCCAGCGTTAACGTTCACTCTGGGACTCGAACCCAGTACCATTCGTTTCAAACGCCATCAAGTTATCCACTTAACTACTAAGTCCTGATAGCCACCTACTTGTACAGTTGGGTGAAGTTTAAATTCGCTTGGTTTTATTTACTTGGATCTTCCCATTCATGTTTAGGACAGCATATGTGCATACTGTAAGGATTGCCTCGATATTGGGAAGATTCAAGTAAACAATACAAGTGAATGTTATCTAATTAGTTGTTATTGGATATAACTTTAGAAATGGAGTTCTCTATTTTCAATTTTATCCTAAAAATTCTCTCATCTTCTCTATTGGATTGTTGATTAATTAACATTGAAGTGTTGTTGTGTATTTATTTTATTATACGATATACCATTCTTGAATTATGCCCTGTCTATTAATTACTACCTCCCTCATTCACAGCCACATTTGGCTAATTCCTGTAAAAATGTTGTTTCCTATGGTATGATGTGGTCTGTCTGGTTGGTATATAAACCCAGTATGTTTGAAATACATGAGTCATATCTCGGAGGCTGAGATTGGTGTTCTGGACTTAACAGGCAGTGTTAGGCAGGGTGAAGGATCTATAAAGACTTTAGACTGCTCGTACGGGTTTCATGCATCATTGGTCCGATCGGTGATTCACTACTTTCTTTTTGGCAGTATCAGTACTTACTTACTTACTTACGCCTGTTACTCCCAATGGAGCATAGGCCGCTGACCAGCATTCTCCAACCCACTCTGTCCTGGGCCTTCTTTTCTAATTCCATTCAATTCTTGTTCATTTTTCTCATGTCTATCTCCATTTCTCGGCGTAATGTGTTCTTTGGTCTTCCTCTTTTCCTTTGACCTTCAGGATTCCATGTGAGAGCTTGTCTTGTGACGCAGTTAGGTGCTTTCCTCAATGTGTGTCCTATCCACTTCCAGCGCTTCTTCCTGATTTCTTCCTCCGCTGGGATCTGGTTTGTTCTCTCCCACAGTACGTTGTTGCTAATAGTGTCCGGCCAATGGATCTGAAGTATTTTGCGTAAACAATTGTTGATAAACACCTGTATTTTCTGGATGATGGCTTTTGTAGTTCTCCAGGTTTCTGCCCCATACAGTAGAACTGTCTTGACATTGTATTGAAAATCCTGACCTTGGTGTTGGTTGAGAGTTGCTTTGAGTTCCAGATGTTCCTCAGTTGTAAATATGCTACTCTTGCTTTGCCGATCCGCGCCTTCACATCTGCATCAGATCCACCCTGTTCATCAATGATGCTGTCCAAATACGTAAAGGTTTTTACATCTTCCAAATCTTCTCCGTCAATTGTTGGCAGTATCAGTACGTATACATTAATAGGGCACTCAGGCTACAAGTTATAACATTAACATTGAAGTGCTTTTGTGTATTTATTTTATTTATTTGAACACAAACATTGGTACAAGGAGGCACCAAATACATATGTGCCACACAAACTATTCGATTTACGTGAGGTCTAGTTTACTGACAAGGTGCCCAAACTGAAGCAGGGGATTTTCTTAAGGAGCCACACTCCGAGATTTCTACCTAAAGGTCTAATCCACAAGACAGTGGAGCAACGCAAGGTGATGCAGTCATATGGTAGCCGGCGACCAACAGTAGGTTCATACGCCTTCTCACTCCTCGGTATCCTGGAGCCCATATGCATCAATGGTTTAGAATCAGCATTTTCCAACTTCCCTGGGTGGTCGCTCCATGTCCACCAACCCGGTTACATCGTCGAGCAGTCGCTGTTCATCCTTCCAACTTCGTAAACAAAAGTAATGCCTTGAGAAGGCAGTGAGTAGGACTTCCCTATCAATAACTGTATATGCGTGGGCATATGAAAGCATTTTTAGAGGGCTAGCTGACTCCCCCCACTCTCGACCGTACCAGGCTATTTAGGGGTTGTCTGATAGATTTTTCTGTGTTTTCATATTTTCATTTTTTATGTCGTATTAGAAGAATCTACGATCGTTCATAAATTATAATTTACAGTACACTAGCCTCCAAACTGTAATACGTTAATTGTTATTATGAAAATGTAACTATATTATTTCATACACTTTAATCGACTATTATTGAAATATCTTGGTTTGATCATTCCTAGGTCAATTCTAAACTGTTTCTATCTTACTTACTATTGTATATGTTACATTATGTAATTTTCTTACATTCTACACTTGTAGTTTACAGTAACTCGTTGTTTAATCAATTATAAGTTTTGTTTCTGGAAAGTTTAATCAGATTGAATGAGTTATCGATATAAAAGGTCTGCAGAAATTAAGTGTTTCGTACACAGTATGCAATTGAATTCTCATATCTGCTTTCCTTGTTTAGTAAATTGCATTGCTTGTCTAATTAGGAGTGGTGTCCTGTGGTTCGTTATTTTTTGGTTGCCCATATTCTAAAAAGTTGTTTCTTATTTTGTAATTTGAATGATTATTCGTGTTGTTAGTAGTGGCCTTATCAACATGAAGGCTGACCGCAAAAAGCGATCAGAGCAGCCGAATGAAGCTGATCATTTATGATCCCACTATTCAGAATTTACATAGAATCTGTAATGTGATATGTTGTGTGCTATTCCAGGAATTAACCCTTTCTAACTACCTTTTCCATTTTTGGGTAGGTAGCATTGCTTGAAAGTGCCTGTTATTCTTGTGAAACAATTTACGACATCATATCCATGTTCAGTCGTCAGTAAAGTTTCACCCTCAGATCTTCTCTCGAGTAGTTAATCGACCTAGCTAAGATGGTAAATCATGCAGAAACAAGTTTTTCCCGTTAATATAGATTTACCGAGTCGTCTCGATAGACATGATTGACCACTGTGTCACGATACAAGTTTACAGTCAGGATTAATGTTATATCCTACCACCAATCATTATAATGACTGATATCATTATTAGTCTCTTATAAAATAACTACGTTATCACTATACGAAGTAGTCAATAATATTTGTATATATGTATGTATGTTCACAATCTACTCATTCTCTCAATTCAAACTATGTATACAGGTCAATAAAATGAATAATGTATTAACTATTTCAGGTCAGCAAGTGTGTTCATGTTGATTTAATGTTTTCATTTCTACTATAAACATTGGTTCAACACTAAATAATATCTACATCACTATATATATATATATATATATATATATATATATATATATATATATATATATATATATATATATACTGTATTGTATTATCAATTAGATTGATTGTTAATTTGTTGGCAAGGTAGGTGTATTTGAGAGATATGTTAATGAGTTTTGTTTTCTTTAATATTGAGAAGAAGAAGAAAAAAAGGTAGAAATTTCAATCCTTCGTTGTTTTATTCATTCATTTTCATGATTGATAAGCAGTTACTAGGTTTGTTATTGTTATTTTGTTTGAATTTATACCCCCTTTTTTTTAAAAAAAAAAAGAAATCAAATGAAATAATAATGTTAAAAGCATAAACGAGTGGGGGGATTGTTGAATTCCGAAGGTTCTCTCATGGGTTAACTTTAGATAAACAATGAAAACCAGGAATTCCTGAACAAAATGATTGATGGTATCTAGTAATCATGTTCAACATTATTTTTAGCCTTAAGAATTGGTATGTATCATTTTCTCTCAGTTAGTTTATTGTGGTTAGCGTTTTTTTTGTAGCAAGGTTCTTTTCTACGGGATGGAGATTTTGATCCCACTCCCAGAGACCCTCTTTTACCCGGGCTTGAGACTAGCAGTAGCCCTAGAAGAGCCATGGGCGTTTTTTTCAATTGCTCCTTTTGATGACATGAAATAATGAATTTTAGTTTCTTTCCTTTCTGCAAATGAATAGTAAATTATCTTCATTTCTGCTTGAAACAACAAACATCTTGACTATAAGGTGTTGATTTTTGTTAGGCATGTTTCATTTTCTTGTGGAAAGTCGAGTAGACAGGGCAATGATAATTTTATCTTGTCTATAGATCGGTGTATATGCGTATTTCGATAAATGTTTACCAATGGGTGACGGATAAGCAATATTGCAAGTGAACTGAAATTGAGAATGTTAACTACTGGATACCAGTTCAGTAGTCTGAAGGCAATAAAGCTTTCCACAAAGTCTAAAAGCCCTGGGTTCGACCTTTGGTGGGGTCATAGAAACGCACTGCTAGGAAGATTCATACTAAGGAATAACAGTTGTTTCACGCTCTCTGGTTTTCTGGCTACAATCTCTTTGTCACCGGAAATATACTCAGAGTGGAATTTCCCTAAAAGTATGCAACAACTTTGTGGTTAAAACACTCGCCTTTCGATCTTTAGGTCGCAACTCTGAGTCTCTCTAACCTGCTGTAAGTTGAACAACCAGGTTTTTTTTACTTGATATCTACCATGTTTTCAGAGATAACATCTTCATCGTCTGACTTTATAGGGGTTGACTTCCTACCAGGCGATTCACTTGTTAACTTTGAAAACGTAGATAATATAGTTCTGTTTGGTGAAGACACTGACGAAATTCAATGCAAGTGTATTCAGAATGGATTTCTCCCCCTTTAGATGTAAAATGTTACTTTGAGATTGGCTTAGGCCAGAGCCTGAATTAATGATAGGAAGTAAAGTTGTTCAACGATCGTCCGTTCCCCAAATTCTGAAATTCCGAATTCCTCGTAAACCTTTTTTTGCTCTTATTTCACCAATTTATGTTTTCTTCTCGAGTCGTATCTTTGACTCCTGATCTTTCCTATTACCATCTCTACTGTAGTGGGATTCGGTCTGACAATTTTATCTCTATGTTCTAACTGGTTATGGCAACTTGGTTCAATATACGTATATACCAGGTTCTACGTTGTGATTGACCGGCTGACCGACTGCATACTGTCTAAATTGATTGAATAGTGTAAACAGTGTGGTTGTCAGTATTCAATATAATCCTTAAACTTCGTATACAGTTCGTCTTGACAACCGTCCTATATAACGTCCCAATGGTATATTAATCAGAAGGCGAATACGAAGCGTTGATTACATTTCTTACGAGACCACGCATATATATCCAAATTTACTGATGCGTTAAACAAGCATAGAAGAGTTGTACCGAAAGGCAAGCAAGCGAGCGAGAGTCAGCAAATATGGATACGAGCACGAGCAAGCGAGTACAATCAAGCGAGCGAGAGCAATGAATATGAACAACATGGACATATATATATACATAGTGAAATGAATGAGTCATCGAATCAAATAAGTGGTTAGTAGTAAGACTAGCAGAGTGAATAAATGCGTAGACCGTAAGCAATATTCAAGTATACATGTCCAGGCATTTGCAATAGTAATAAAGGTACAATGATATAGATAAGTTGCTGTTAGGATGACTCAGTTCGTTAATAAGTTAATACAATGACTTGATCGAATTAATTGTGAACAAACTCAATTTCACGTGATCTGTTATAACCGATTTATTGGCAGCTTAAACGAGTTAAAGTGTTTTGTAGCTGTTTCCCTTCTAACTATTAGGAATAAGTTGTACCTAAATAAATGGTCGCTCTAGTTGTCAGAAGGGGCATCGGCCTCGTAACTTCCGAAGGAATTCGGCTTTCATCATGAGGCGTCATAGTTCTTCTAAATGAATACCTTCTGACTCCCAGGGCAGGGTTTAAAAGGTTTGAATAATTTTGTCTGGTTAGCGCTTTTTTAGCGAGTTAGTTTTCTACGGGATGGGGACGCTAACCCCATACCCAACCCTCCTCTTTTATCCGGGTTTGGGACCGGCAGTAGCCCCCGGAGGGACTCCAGGCGGAGTTACTAGGATTAATTAATGTTGCAAATTGTGAATACTATTTGTTATGTTCTGATGGTTTGCAGATATATCACATAATACGATCGCCAATTAGAACACTGACTTATTGACCAGACTAATGATGTATAAACCAGTACGAGCAGCCTAGAATCAACTCTGAGTTGCAGCAACTTCACACTTAACTCAGCCGGTTCAGTTCAGAACACCAATATCAGCCTTCGCTGAATAAACCATCTATTTCAGACATACTTGGTTTATATACAAGCAAATCAAACTGCATCATAGCATAAAATAGAAAATAAGAATTAGACAAGATCAGGTCAAAAAATGGCTGTTATTGTGAGATACTGTAACTAACAGTTTGGGGATAATTTAGGCATGGTAAATCGTATTATAGTAGTCAATAGGTCAAACGGAAGTTTATAATGAGTGGGATATGCATATACATATAGTATACTTACTTAACAGTTCAATGTTAATAATATATCATCTAATAACAATCCATAAATAGATCCTAGCAGTTACCACTTACTTATTCTTCGTCCGGATATAACATTTTTGTCCATTTCCATAAAATCTTATGCGTTTAGTATCGTTTAATGTTGTTGATTGTTTGCAATGTTCCAAAGTTGTCACCATTTAAAATCAGTTAGTATTGACTAGCCTTATTGCTTTAATTTAGTAATCTTTAATAGTATACATCCATAATTCCACAAAGTAAATTGAAAGTCTTGCTGCGATAATACTGTAGTGTATCCTACTGATATCGACAGATATAAGTAGTATGTATCATCAATAGAAAGTGAAATACCTGACGGCAAAAGGTTAAGAAGATCAAAGAAAACAAAACGAGAACAAAGAATGATTGATGTAGAAACCAAAGGATTATCAAGTCTGAAACAATAGATTGACATTTTGTAAATGAAGTATTTAATGTATGGTTCTCAGATTTTACATTCGATTATTCCCCACTTATGTTCTGATTCATTAGAACTACTACATTTTGTTCAATTGAATTGTAATCTAATAATTTTTATTTTATATGTAAAATGTTGTTTCTTCTCTTCTCTTATCAGGTATGGATACTCCATTTTATCATCAAAATAAAAAATTCAATCAACAAAATCATATACAATCTAATCGTGAATCACAAGATTCATCATCCATTTTAACCAGCTTTCCTATAGTGAATGAGGTCAGTATTATTAGTATATTGCTGTGCTTTATACCAGTTTATAAATCTTACCGTTCATGACAGAATGACAGAATCATTCCAAGAAATAAACGAACATTCATGATGTTGTTCACTATTAGTTCTCTGTTGAATAGAGAATCGTAGAATCCACTTCGTGAAGTTCCAAGTCCTTATGATAATGTATTAGACTAAAAGTCTGTATTATTTATTAATAGATGAATGGTGTTTCTACCCATTCAGAAATGATTGTTTACGATTTCGATACTTGTACATTGATCATTACATTAGAGCTTTACGTATCAAATCTAAACTCTATTGATTTAGTTTTAATCATGAATTTTAAAGAAAAAATCACAATGCGGTAGCACTATGATAATAACTTATGGAAAAACAACTAGGCAGATGAAAATTTTGAATTTCATGATCTTTCAGGGATGGGAGCTCTGAATTGTGAAAAAGAATGTAGGATGATGAATTTAATTTCATAAAGGAAGAATATGTTGAATGGGATACAATTGGTACAGTTTAATATTCTTAAGAGGAAGTTTTATGACGTTAGTTCATGGATACAATCGATAAATCTATTTATCAAACTCTACTTTAGTCATATGATTCAATTTTTACATTAATATTCAACTACCTAGATTGATTTTGAATGACCCGACTAAATTCCAAAAACTCAACGATGTGAATGACATAAATATGAAAACAGAGAAATTGCTGACTAATTCACTGAAGGAATTAAAAAAAATAAAAGAATACTTACTCCAAACATACACGATTCACTTAAACTCACTGGATCGAACACACCACGACTCTATGGTTTACCTAAAGTTCACAAGATTGGTCTTCCTCTTCGTACATTTTTAGATATGTATAATTCGCCATACCATAGAACTGCAAAGTGGTTAGTTCAACTCCTAGATCCTTTACACAAAATAGTCGTCAACAGAAGCGTGACAGACGTCTCATTTCCAAAGTTGAACATATGAATTTAAATGGGAAACGGATGATATCCCTAGATGTTACTTCCCTGTTCACCAATTTATCTTAAACTGAGACTATTGATTTGTGGTGCCAATAGCTACTTGAAAAAAAAAATCAATATCGGGATTCCCGGGGTTAGTCTCAAAGAATTACTTCTGGAATGTACAATAAACGTCCGTTTTGTCTTGAATAACACATATTATAGACAAATTAATGGTATGCCGATGAGCTCATCTCTAGGTCCTATCCTTGCGGATTTTATTCTTGCTAAACTAGAAAACGGACCTCTCAAAGATGTTAACAATAAGCTTGACTTCTACTGTCGTTACGTTGATGACACTTTCGTCATTGTCGATCAGAACATTAGAAAGGAACAACTACTAGAACTATTTTAATAACAAACATCCTACAATTAAATTTACATGTGAAGAGGAACTAGATAATAAACTACATTTCCTTGACGCTTTGTTAAACAGAAAACAAAACGGTCCTATCAGTAGAAGTGTATATAGAAAAAGTTCTTCGTCAAGCCAATACATACATTTCTTAAGCTTTGAACCCTTTCGTTATAGAAGAAATTTAGTCAAATGTCTGGAAAATAGAGCTATTAATATATGCTCAGTCGATACAATTAACAAGAAATTAGAGATCATATATAATATGTTGATTGAAATGGGTTATCCACAGGGTTTCCTGAAGAAACACGTGTAACAAACAAGAAAATAGCGACGTCAACAGCTAGTGAGAAACCTCTCTTCTTGAATCTGCAATTCAATGGAGATTTAGTTGGTGATATACTACGTGATAGACTGACAAGAGCACTGAAGAGAACGTTTAATGCACCCAACCTTTGTCTATCGTACTCGACCTGATCTATGGAGATTCCTCAACTAAAGGATAAGTTACCTGGTTATGCCACTTCTGTGTATCTACGAATTCAGCTACTCCTGTAGGGAAAGCTATATTGGGTGCACTACCAGACAAGTAAAGCAGAGTTAGTGAACATCTCCCTTTGTGTTAATGAAAAGGTTCTGTGAAGTCAATATGCAGCTCGATTCTATCACACTTGATCGATATTGGTCATGTAGCAAACAGAAATAAGTCATTTAAATGTTATTTATCGTATTCCTACTAGTTTTCCTTAAGGTGTTCGATCTCGTCTCTTACACATAGCAGAAGCTACAGGAATTCGAGCCAACAATCCACGTCTTTGTGTTCATAAGAAATTTGTAACACCCTTATCTCTCCCTTGGCCTTAATAAATGATTTTATTTATTTATTATTATTTTCCATACTCTCTCTCTCTCTCTCTCTGTTTATTTTTTTCACCCCCTCCACACAAATACGTTTCACGTTCCAATCATATGAACATTTCTGATTACGTAATCTTCTAATTTTTTTATGAATGTTATTTCAATGTCTATGTTTTCCATTATGAAACGTTGATTCAAGCCTTTATTATTCTTATCACAACTAATACACTACTAATTTGTACTTTTCACTCACTATATTTAGTTACGTAATCAATTCCGCGGTTATCACAAGCTCATCAACTGACCTGATTGGTTTAATAATTTCGTATATGCCTATTAAATATTACTGTAAATTAGAGTAAAGCCTGATGAAGATCTAATCAAAAACAATATTGATTGAGATGTTGAAATCGATTGATATTGAATCATCATTGAGAACTTAGAAGCACTGGACGGCCGTTTCGTCCTATTAAGGGACTCCTCAGCGGTGCGCATCCACGATCCCAGTCGTGGGATCCCATAGTTAGAAACAACGGCCGTCCAGTGCTTCCAGATTTTCAACGATGGTCCAACCCTATACTATATATATATAGTTCTAAATCATTATAACTGAGCATATAACTGATAAAAGTGTAATGTATTAGGTTTTTCTCATGTACATAAGTGGATATTTCATTTTGTCCATAAATCTTACATGTACTACTTTTTTAAATACAATTAAATAGAAAAGAAGAAAATTCGAATATGATTTAGTGGTATGTTATTTGACTAGTTGTAAATTTGTCCATATTTAAATAACTATGCGTAAAATGTCATTCTGTTTAACTTGTAGAGGCTAATTTCCTCTATATCTGACTCCAATAAATAGTATCCCGTTAACTGAGTATTTAATACAGGCTAAATCTCCTAGTAGAATGATGGATTTACTCAAGATTATTCAAAAGCTTGAACACCAGTTATAGAGACAGTTTATTGATAAAGATTGATAAAATCCACAAGTGTAGAGGATGCAAGTACACAGAGAAACTAATTGTGTGTGTGTGTGTGTGTGTTAGAAATGCATATATATTTATGAGTGTTAACCAAGTATGGATAAATTAAAATAATACAGTAGTTGAATGGGCTCACTACAAACTCTCTCCCTCTATCTCTATTCTTTGCTGTTTTGTTTATGAATTGAGTTGATCAGTTACTTTGTTTGATTCATATTCTCATCGTATGGAATATACATAATTACTATATTCATCTACCGATCAACTTCATAACTGGATACAAATCTTGATCTATTGAAGTATTCTTATCTACAAGTTAATAAATTCTCTATTCAATTACTTAAACCGATTTTCGATGATGTAATAAGAAGAGGAAGATTATCAGAACTATGTGATGATATATATTAGCGCAATACATTTCGAACAATTTGATCATACATATACTTGTTAATATTTATATCTACTTAAATGACTGCACAAACAAATAGAATCAAATGACCGAATAAGGGTAGAGGATAAACATCCATCATCCTCTATTGCTAAACACATAATTGAAACATGTCATTAGATTGATCTTAACTCAGCTTTTGTGGTGTTGTACAGAAATGTAAACGGGCATATACCAAGGTTTATTGAAGCCTTAGTCATACGAAGATTCAAACCCCCTCTGTGTATTCAAAAACAATTTGTTCTAGCTTTAAACCGACTCTGGTAATATTACCTTATTATCCAAAGTGATAAGGCTTCAAATCATTTTCACATTGTTTCTTGATTATCCTTGTCTCGTTTTACCTTTCATTTCTAGTCTAGTTAACTTAACAAGTATATATGTGATCACGTTGTTCGATATGTACTGCGCTAATAGCCCATCACGTAGTTCTGATCACCTTCGTCTTCTTATTACACTATCGAAATTTATCAAAGGGATTAATTGCTTTAAACTGATTTTGGCATAATGTAGCTTACGAATCTGTAGTCTGTCTAACAGAAAATTCGAATGCTACTTAGTACCAATAAACTGTTGATTTTACTTAAATCTAGTGTGAAAACACTTACAACCTGGTTATTTATTTGATCAATTAAACTGTAGTAAGTCGAAATGAAAAAAAGTCATTCAAGCAGTTCAATTGTACCTTCTTCCTTGACTCATCATCATAATTTATAAAAAATACACTTGATAATGTAATTTATGTATTTTGGAAATACAACAGTTCTTTTTTTTAACTGTCTATTTTATAGTGTGATGTGGATATCAACAAGGAACCGTGGTTTCATGGTGTTTTGCCTAGAGCAGAGGTGGAACGGTAGGTTTATCACAAAAAAAATCGTATTTATTCAATGAATGGCTGAATCGAACTTGTAAAGTTGGGATTGTGACGGATAATCACTAACCTTCTGTGTAGACTAAATATTTGCAATATGTTGCCTTTTTTGTTTGCTTATGATCAATTAACTGTTTAAATGAAGACATAAAGTAACAAATCAACCGAATAGCCTAATATATGATGACTTTGAGGGGGTGTTCTTAGCTACGTAGACAGATGCTGGACATTAATATTCCCACAAACGTAGAATATTTTGAATCGGGATATAGGTTGATGTAGTTTAGAGTTTTAATGATCTCATTTTGTGTGTATCTACTAGAGCAGATTACCTCATAGTCAATCAGTCGGTCAGCTACAACGTACGAGATTTACAACCTCATCGACTGATTTACCATCATACCCTAATACCCTGCGTCCAACCTCACTATTACTCACCCGGTGATCCTAGCAGATGCTGGAAATACTTCTAAGGCATCTGTGGTCAAATACCAGTAGCTTAGGAGTATCTTCTACTCGTAATGGTCACGTTTCGCGGCCGTAAAGTAGAACAGAACGAATTGTTGCGCAGTATACTCGTCCTTAAATCGATAGACGGATATCTCACCCTCGTCATGGATGACGTAACTTGGCAAAAGCCAAATGAGCTTTTCGAATCTGTGCAGAGACTTCGTCCGACATCAACTCATTAGGGCTGATCAGACTTCTAAGATAAGTAAACCTGTCAACCCGTTTGACTACTTTACTCCCTATTCTTAGTTCCGGTGTTGACACAGACCAGTCCTGAAGCAACAACTTGCATTTGGAGGGAGAGAAGGGCATCCCAAAGATTCTGGCATTTTCGCTCCAAAAGACTCTGCATTTTGTCAGCGTTTTCACCAAACGGGACTATATCATCTGCGTATTCTAAGTCGATAAGTTGATCTCCTGGTAGGAGATCAATGCCTTGTTATTGACCTTTCGTTATTTATATTAAATACGTCACCTATGATTTAGTTTTTCATAGTTGAATTCATGAGTCAATTAAAGCTACGTCACCATAGAAAACCTGGAAGCATTGTATGGCCGTTTCATCCTAGTACGAGACTCCATAACAGTGCGCGTCCACGATACCGCCCCATGAGATTCGAACCCAGGGCCTATCAATCTCGCGCGCGAACGCTTACTCTTTAGACCACTCAGCCGGCATTCAACGGTGTTAATGTGTAACGGAATTACTCCACTGTCTTCAGTGAGTTACTATCTCACAACCGACCTGGTTGAACTCCACTGGTCACGGGCATCCGGTGCTTCCAGGTTTTCCATGGTCGTCTAGCTTCAATTGACTTATGAATTCATTTATTAGTGTAGTTTTCCATTGTTAGTGTTATTTTAGCGTTGTTTTGCTTTTAATGAACTTGAAATACAATAATGTGGTCTGATTTTATTGATTTACTGACTACAAGATGTGCTTTTTTTCTTATTGAAGGTGTGGCTTTTACCCCATTGTACGTACTACGACAATATAAGATTTTTACTGTTGTAAGCCTACATATATAATCTATATTTCTGTGTTAGATCACTTACTGGAATAGTTACATATATTTACTTATTAATTTATTGAATATTAGAATTATGATTGTACTTGTAATAGTACTTGGATGTGTGAAACAGTAGTGTTTGCATGTTTGAATAATAAAAATCAATGCTTCTTGTGGAGTTTCACTCACTCACTCACTCACTCACTCACTCACTCACTCACTCACTCACTCACTCACTCACTCACTCACTCACTCACCATCACTCACTCACTCACTCACTCACTCACTCACTCACTCACTCACTCACTCACTCACTCACACATTCACTCATTCCTTATTACTATTCTTGTTCTTAATAGTTGATATATTATTCAGATATCTTTTTATAACATGATGTTAACTGATTAATATTGTCACAAGTATCAACATGACTACAACCACGACTACGACCCTGCCCCCCTTTTTTTCGTTCTTTTGGATTCTTCACCATTTTCTTCGTCTATTTTACATGTACTTTATTGTATTGTGGAATATTTTCTTGTTTTTCTCACATAGAAAATAAATTTTTCTTCTTCATTTTTCATTAAGTGTTGGGAATCTTAATTTTGAAAAAAATGGAATAGATTTTCATTGGACACAGATTATTGATTGGTAACAATGAACCAACAGTCAATAAAATGAAAACACCATAATGAGTTATCATTTCATTTGAGATTAAATCCTTTTGTGTTATAACCTGTTGACTTAGAATATGCCGATGACATGGTTCTATTTGGTGAAGACGCTGACAAAATCCAGAGTCTTCTGACCACTCTAATCAACAATGCAAGCATGTTCGGCATGCGATCCCTCCCCGAAATGCAAAATTTTACTTCAGGATTGGGCTGCATAGACAGCCGAAGTAATGATAGAGAGTGATTTAGTCGAGCGTGTCGACCGCCTCACTTTTCTGGGACGTCTCATCAGCCCTTGTGGTCTGGTGTGTGACGAAATCTCAGCACGGATACAGAAGGCTCGACTAGCTTTTACCAACTTGCGTCATTTATGGAATAGGCGATATATCCGTCTATCAACCAAAGGACATATTTATTGTGCAGCAGTTCGTTCCGTCCTACTTTATGGCAGTGAAACATGGCCGGTAAGAGTAGAGGATATTCGTTAGTTTCTAGTATTTGAGCATAGGTGCCTTCGAAATATTGTTCGTATATCCAGAGACCACCAAGTAGGTAATGCAGTTGTTAGGAAATGGGTACTAGGTAAGGATGGCAAATCGATTGATGAAGTGGTGAAACTTCATGAGTTGAGATGGCTGGGACACGTGTTACGTATGTCCATCCACCGACTGCCCCGACGTGCGATGTTTTATAGTGTAGGAGTGGGTTGGAAGAAAGCTAGGGGCGGCCAGACCGTAACATGGCACAAATCCATGAGGTCACTGATAAGTGGACTGAGTCATGTTGGTAGGTGTAGACTACCTGGTTGGGGACTGCGAGATGATAGCGACCGATGGTTAGAGACCTTGAATGACATGGCTCAGAATCGTTTGCATTGGCACGGATGCATCCACTCTTTGTGTTCTCTCAAGTTCTAATCTTCTGAATTTCTTACCCCTTTTTTTTCTCTTTCCAAATTTATTTCACCAGATTATACTCCTTGAATAACATCTCCAAACCCTAATGTTTCTGATTACTGCTTATACTCTTACCACCTCTGCCACTACAGGACTTGAATGGACAACTGCATCTCTGTGCTAATGTGGTATGGCAACTCAAAGTAATGTACGTACGTACGAAGTTGTACATTGTTGCTAACTGACTACTGACTTATAACTTACAGTCTAGTGCCCCTATCAATTTATCATCTAACGATAACGCCAATTAGAAAATTGTTACTTATCGATCGGCCTGATGACGCATAAAACCCATATGAGCAGTCTAGAGTCCTTCTTGACTAGCCCTTCCTGCCTGTTGAGTCCAGAACACCAATCTCAGCCTCAGCGATATGAATCATGTTTTTCAAATGTACTGGGTTTATATACAAACCAAAGAGACCACATCGTACTATAAAATTGAAAATACACATTTGCAAGATTTAGCCAAATGTAGTTATGAATTTAGGAGACTGTGATGAATAGACAGAGCATAACTCAAAGAATGGTAAATCGTATAATAATCATCTATGGGTCAAAATAAAGCTTATAATAAGAGGAACATGAATATGAATTGTTTAATTGCATAGTAATTATACAATAAAAATTCATGTATAAGATTATTCCTTAAATGCTTCTCAACAATTACCATCATAATTCTCATTGGAATATAACAATCTGTTATGAAGTAGTACACTAATAGTTTAACTCTTAAATTTTCTTATGGCTTTAAGTATCAACAAACTTGTATTTTGTGCAGCATTTTGACCTTTTTTTACTTGAATTTATAAAACTATAGTAGCTGGCGTAACTATTTATGAACTGTTCAATGAACAATTGCATTGTAGTATGTGCTACGGATGTCGATAAATATGGGTAGTATGTATCATTAATCGAAAGTGAAATACTTGACAGAAGAAGGTTAAGAAGATCGAAGAAAAGGTAATGAGAACAGAGAATGATTGTTGTGGAAATGAAGGAATAGTGAAGTCTAAGACGATTGATTGACATTTTGCAAATGAAGTATTTACTATATGGTTCTCAGATTTTACTAAAATGATCTTTAATTTTGTGTTCAAATACATACGATTGTCCTAATTGTGTTCTCATCCACTAAGGTATCACATGTGGTACCCTTATTTATTCTAAAGTGCGGTATTGTATTAATCATACATTGTAATCTGTGTTGAGTGTGTAGAAGAGAAAGTGACTCCATAATTTGATCGCAAACGTCTTTCGGATGGTTCAGTTGTTATAATAACCTTTTCCCTTGTCACATTTTTATATGAAAATTGAAATCACGAGTTTTATCGTACCGCATTCTTTCTTGCTATTAAAGTCTTTTACAGAATCAAGGGGATTTCCTTGTTCGACAAACAAGTAAACGTTCCAGTGGGCGTGATACCTTAGCCCATTGGAATGGAACTAATGGGGATTTAATCAATGGTAGTCATAACGAAACAATATTAAATAAAGATCATAATATTGATGGAACTGTTTTACGTATGGTTTTATCTGTCTTTTGGCATGGTCATAGACATTTTATTGTATATGGTGGACCAGAGTCAGGTGAAGGTTGGCATTTAGAAGATGGTCATTTCTCTACAGTAAGGTAAGTAGTAGTCATTTTTCTAGTCTAGTCTTTTCTAGTTTCCAGTGAACATAAAACTTTACTTATTAGCGAAAATATATCTGGCATTAAACTGTTAGTGTTTCCTAGTCTTATATTTTAGTAACTTATGGTATGTTTTCTTTAGAAACCTCTGCTTCTATTGATATTGTTATCGACAAGCTGTGAGGAATGTGACCGCAGTTAGCAGCTGTTTGCATACTACACAATCAAGTTATTTATTAAGTTTTTAGCGTCTAGTTGTATAAAAATCATATGCAAAACGAAGACAGAGACTTTTATTATAGTCAGTTTCCAACCAGATACTATACCTCCCTAACGTGTTTTTAAATTTTTATATACGAGATGGATATGTGAACAAATGTAGTACGCAATCTGAGTTACGGAGTGTTTTACCGGTCGCATCCTTACTTAAAACATGTAAATATTAGCCACTTGTTAACTAAATTTTGTCATCTTTTCACCCAGTGTGAGTATTACTTTCAGGTTCAATAAACGTAATTTCACCCTTATTTTCTGTTTAAGAAGTATGTCATCTCATAGAGAAATAGCACAATAATGTGTATTCTAGTACTAAGCTTTATCAACACAACATGCGCTTCATAATCCTTATCATAATCCCACATAACCTATGCTACCGACTACTAACTAGCACACTAACTAACACACAAATAAAATGAAAATGATGATGTTTACTGAAAACTCTTTTCTCGCTTCGATTTACAGTCAAACAATTCACACTATTATTATTATTATTATTACTATTGTTATTTTTATTATTTACTACGTCATTTACTCAATCTTTATATTCCCACTTTATGTATCCTTATTTTTCGACGTATACAGCAGCTCGCCTATGGTGGAAACTTGGTTCTATCTAAACGTTCTCGAGTCACTGCCTGGTTGAAAACTGTATGCTACCATCAAATACGAATACTGAAGCAGTTTTTTTGAAACCACGCGCACCATTTAAACTGGCTGCCTTCAACGTGCGATAATGCCCAAGGCATGCAATCCGCACTTAATCAGTTGGCAATCAGTGTCCGTAGCTACGGTATGTGCTTTGCACCTTCGAAGTGCAAAGTAATTCTACAAGACTGTCAAGATTCTAATCCTGTACTCACTCTGGATGGTGAGCAGATAGAAGTAGTCGAGAAGTTCGTGTATCTGGGTAGCTGCATAAGTGCTGGTGGGGGTGTGATTGATGAGATCAATGCACGTATAGTGAAAACCAGATCGGCTTGTGCCAATTTGGGCCATTTTTGGTGCCTTCGTGATGTTAGTCTGGCTGTAAAAGGTCGGATCTACAACGCATCAGTGAGAGCAGTCTTGCTCTAAGCTTGTGAAACTTGGCCTCTCCCAGTTGAGGATATTAGACGGCTCTGTGTTTGATCATCATTGTGTCCGAAAGACTGCTGACATCCAGTGGCAACACTATGTTAGTAATGCAGAGGTTCGGCATCATGTGTCCGGGCACAGAGACGATATCCATTAGGTGTCACCATCTTGAAACACCGACTTTGGTGGCTTGGACATGTTCTACGAATTTCGTCTCAGAGAATTCCACGTCGTGCATTGTTTGTCGACGCTGGGACTGTTTGAAAGAAGTGGTCAGTGCATGACATGGTGTCGTGGTATGAAAGAAAGCTGCAAAGGACTGGCTTGTGTTTGTCCTTCACGACTCTTTGTCTGGTGTCCGAGAGATGGTGTAACACAATGGCCAGAGACGTTATCAGATATGGCTCAGAATAGAAACCAGTGGCGATCCTGCTGTAACCTTCTTTTACTTTCTTCATAAAAAGTGGTTGCTTCTTCCTTGACTGAAAGATCTCTTCTGATTGTACCTTTCCGTCTCCCCTATTATTATTATTATAATTTTTATTATCATTATGATTATTATTATTACATTACCTTGTAGTAATCTGGTCGTTATTGTCCTTCTTTTTTTCTCTTACGCTCCTTACCTTCTATTTTTGTCTTCCCATTCTCATTGTTTTGTGTGGCGCACATATGTATTTGGTGCCCTCTTGTACCAAAATTTATGTGTTCAAATAAATAAATAAATATAAACTAGCACAAAACATTGATCCATGTCTTACAGATACGTTTTTCACTGCTCAGTGGACATTCATAATGAGTATTTTTGGTTCAGTGATGGTTACTACTCGTGAGTAGGGTAGTGTTTCCTTCGAAATATGTTAGGTGTGGTTTGAGTTGGACAATAGTGGGTCTATGTATTGTTCGTAAACAAATTAGTACAAAACGTTTTCAATCATTTAAGTTATATTATTGGTGAACATGTGTTTCGGAGATGGATTCTAGCGATCTTGCGAAAGTTGGATGAATTTATTTTTGACATTTTCTGTGTAATTAGCAAAGATTTTTTTTTCTTAAGTTTATTATCAGCTCTGAAATTTCCCTTGAATAATCACATTTGATGTTTGTTTAATAACTAAAATTCTGCAGGGAACTGGTTGAATATCATATGAAAACTCAAACTCCCGTGACAGCAAAATCAGGTGCATGTCTTATTACACCAATTTCAAGACCTGATTGGGAACTAGACAATCGTGATGTACAACTACTACAAAAAATTGGTCAAGTATGTTTTTAGACATTGTAACTCATAAGTTATTCATCGATTTAAATAGTATCATTCTTATGTTTATTATTTTGTAAAGTTTTCATATTATGGAATAGATGAGAAATGTTACGCTTGCTTAGATCGGTTACAATTGTTTGGGAAGTATTGCACGTATTTAACAGGAACTTCAAGACACATGAACTCTTAGCCTAAGTTATTACGTAACAGTGCCAAGTCAGTCTCAGTCTGAATTTTCATCGATTAGGGTTTTGGCATATGTTTAGACAAGTTTATCCTCCGGCTACTGTGACGCATAATGTCTGTGTTTGAAATTTCGAAACAAGATTTTTTTCATGTTGGCGATCTTAATTAAGAATTAGGGTTCTTTGTTTATTTTCACATTATCTCGTCGTCAAAAAATAATTCTATAGCGTAACTGTGAAAATTACACACGTCTCCCGATCTTGTTTGAATGTCTCTAATCACATATGTTAATTTTTAGTTGTACTTCAACAAAGGAAACACCTGATTCCAATCGCTTTTCAATTACATACATGCCCCCAAATGACCTGGTACGGTCGAGAGTGGGGAGAGTCCGCTCTCCCTCTTGAAATGCTCTCACATGGACACACGTATATAGCCTCTGCCAGGGAAGTCCTACTCACTGCCTTCTCGTGGCGGGGGTGTTGTTTACGAAATTGAGACGATGGAAAGCGAACGTCCGGCGCTTTAACCGGGTTAGTGGACATGGAGAGTTCACTTAGGGAAGTTGGAAAACCCCCATTCCAAACCAATGGTGCACATGGTCTTCAGTATCCTTAAGGAACAAATGGCGTATGAATCAATCTTTGGTCACCGGTTACCATGGGACTGCATCTCCTTACGATGCTCCACTGACTTTTGGATCAGACCTTCAGATCAAAGGCTCCGGGTGTTGTCTTCTAAGAAAACCACCTGCTTCGGTTTGGGCACCCAGGCAGTATCACAGCCCTCAGACATATCAAATGAGATTTGTATGGCGCATATGTATTTGGTGCCTCCTTGTACCAATATCTAAGTGTTAAAATAATAATAATAATTCATGTGATAAAGTGTATTGCTTATTTTATTCTACATCTCGTTTTTCACAGGGTAACTTTGGTGATGTTTATCGAGGTGTATATAATGGAAATGAAGTTGCAGTGAAAACTTGTCGTGTCGATATGACGGCATCAGATTTACGTAGGAAATTTCTCCAAGGTGAAACAACTGCTTTAAATTTCAATCATCCAAATATTGTCAAATTAATTGGTATTGCAGTTCAATCTTATCCAATTATGATTGTGATGGAGTATGTTCCAGGTTAGTGAACTTGACATGCTTTTCATGAATTCTAGCATATTTCATTAATTACCTTACAATTGTATCATTTATGTTAATTTGTTATTCTTACTACTTATTAGGTATAAGTAGTTACGTTTTCAAACGATAAGGGTTGTAGTATGTGAATTGACAGTATTTTGTGTTGGACATTAACAGTGTTATACAATCGTAAGAAATTTTTGTGAATAACTTATCTCCTATTAGGCAGTGAACTGTTTTAAATCACTCGAAAACATACATTGATCAACGTTATCTTCTTCCATGATTGGATCTGTCAATCAGTCATAAACGATATTGCAAGCACTTCGTTCTGTCTTACATTCTGACTGTGACATATATGAAACTAGTATTTGATCATAAATGTCTTTGAAAGGCCAGCGGAGCATGCTGTAGCCATCGGCTTAGTAGCTTTTGGGTTACTGTTCAAAAATACAAAATGGTTGATGATGTAACAGGTCTTCAGCAACTGATGTGTTGAAACATGTATTACGCATATCCAACGACCATCTACCGTAAACGACGTTCACTGGTCTGCAAGTAGATTCGAAAAAACGTGGAGACGATAAGTTAGTAGCTTGATGTCAGCTCATGAATTCACTGAAAGTTAGTTTGAACCATATTGATAGATGCGAACTACAGGGTTACATTCCCTCAACTTTCTCAACCAACTGTTATAAACATTGCGTGCCATGTTTGAAAATTGGTTGAAAAAATAGCGTAAAGATAATTGATATTTGCTTTACTCAGGAACTCCAATTTTGAAACCCTTTTCTACTACTTATCACCCTAATAAATTCTGATCATAATCACACGATCTATTTCTTTTTTTTTTTCGCTATCATGGTTTTAATGTGGTATTGTAACAGGGACTTTTGCATTTATATACCGAACTATTACGTTGAATTTGGCTTGGACATCATTGGAAGTGGAACACATATGGTTTCTTAAAAGATAAGTGACAAGAAAGTTATTGTTTCAGTAAGGATGAAATTAATTTAGAATTAAGCGAATGAATTTTAAAGTTAGTTTATGAATGCCAATACTGCAATACATATACATTCTCCCAACTGGTTCCAAATAGAACGCAATACTTTCATCGAATTCCACTTATATCTACAGTTCAGAACCCAACTAAAACTATGAAACTATAGGTAGTACCTGGTTTTCTGTCAAAGTTCCACGTATGCTGTAGCTGACTCATATAATCTTGCATATCAACAACGGGAAAGTTTGAACGCTTTGCGAGTGAATTACTGTAAAATTCAGGTGAAACTGCTATTGTGACTAGCTTTTTTTCTTGTTATTTCATTCTCTGGGCTTTCACTATCTTTCTGGACAATATTATCAGCACATATGTCAAATAGAAGTGGGTTATTCACTTAACAACACCACTGCCATCATTCTATGCTTACCTTTTTTGTGTATATCGTATCACACTACTTAATACTACTTAGTAGTGAACTACATATTCATTTCCTTGAAAGGATCATTTTAATTCTCTTTCTTTGATAAGTTAACGATTCATATTATTCTAATCTATTGGTTTATTTTTGTATTCATTGTAAAGGTGGTTCTCTTTTAAATCATTTACGTAAATCAAAAAATGCATTACCTGTTATGAAACTACTTCAAATGAGTTTAGATGCTGCTAATGGAATGATGTATTTAGAAGCGAAAAATTGTATTCATCGGTAAGTTTTATTTTACTCTCATTTCATATCAATACAGAAATTCATATTTGATAAATTCGATCCCGATAATGGTTATAAACAGATTGATTGTTGTGGTACAACTAACGTCCTCCTACTACCTGTAGTGAGTTTTGGAGTATACGTTCTTTAATAACTTTCAAGAGGGTAGATTCAATGGAAATGAATTCACTTTGAACTCTGAGATGGAGGTACATCCAGCCGATGAGTCCCAAATGGGACGAAACGCGCGTCGTGGATTCCACTGCTAGCCACTATCCATCATTGCTTACAAAATACCAAGACCACATTTTGAATAATTTTCTCTGGTTTGAGTTTTTTAGCGAGTTAGTTTTCTACGGGATGAGTTCGCTAACCCCATTCCCAACCCTCTGCTTTTATCCGAGCTTGGGACAGACAGTAGCCCCGAAGGGGCTCTAGACGGACCTTGTTATTTATTCACTTATCAACCTCGGGTGTTTTTATATGAGCGTTTGTGTGTGTATTTCTTATCCTACCTATCACATATCTGTAGCTTATTTCTGTGTGACTATAAATATTGATTCACGCTTGGCTAAATCAAGCTGGGTCATTCGCCTTCTCCACTGTGGTTCATTTTGCTTCACTCTCTTCGCTTCGTTCTTCCGATAGTTTTTCTGGATCAACGATTGTATGAAATATACATATTCGAAATCCATTCTTCTATATGATTTAATTAATTACGTTATTCACTAGCTCGAATTAGGTCGATGATTATATACGAGGATTAGCGACATGTATATTTCAATAACAATCAATTATACGATCTGAATGGAGTGAGATCTCTGGCTACTAAAAATCTATTCAACAGTGTTTTAGCTTGTGCGAAGAAGTATAAATTGGTGTTTTGGTGGAATTTCATTCAGTCTTAATCACGATAGAATATGGAGAAGAATGACTACTTGAAACTGGGTTTGAATATTGAAATTTTGTTTACAGTGTTTGCGATAATCATCAAGTTTAACCACTTTATCCCTAGTATTAGCCATGTTGGTAGATGAAGACTACATGCTTGAAGTCCGTGTGACTATCGTAACCAACGGTTCGGGACTCTGTGTGACATGGCTCAGAATCGATCACAATGGCGTCAGTGTATGCACTTTCTATCTTCCTTTAAACTATGAGATTAAAGTCCTTTCATATCTTTCTACGAATTAATTCTTTCTTCTTGTATTATATCCTTATACACAATCTATTTGTATTGAAACAGTGATTTAGCAGCAAGAAATTGTTTAATTTCTGATGATGGTCAATTAAAAATAGCTGATTTTGGCATGTCGAGAGAAGAGCATATATATGAAGTAAGTTGAATAAATAGATTTATGCATGTGTATAATATCAGTGTTCATAAATCTCATTTTTCATCAAATACATATATTATTTATTCAAACATAAACATTGGTACAAGGAGGCGACGGATACATATGCCTAAACCAAAGCAAATGATTTTCTTAGGAGGCCACTCCCCGAGCCTTTGACTTATAGGTCTAATCCACAAGGCAATGAGCAACGTAGGTAGATACAGTCACATGCTAGCAAGTGACCGACTATTGGTTCATACGCCTTCTCATCCCTCGGCACCCTGGAACGCATATGCATTATTGGTTTGGAATGAGGGTTAACAACTCCTCTCGCTGGATCCTCCATATCAACCAACCCGGTTCAAGCGTCGAACATTCGCTTTTCGTCCTCTCAACTTCGTGAACTACAGTAATGCCAGGAAAAGGCAGTGCGTATGACTTTCCTGGCAGTGGTTGTATACTCGTGGCCATGTGAGAGCATTTGGAGAGTGAGAGCTGACTCTCCCCACTCTTGACCATACCAGGGCATCCGGGTATATATATAATACATTTGGAGAGATTTTAGCTTATTATTTCACTAGGAGATTCTATTTCACTACTGATTTTTTGTATTAGACAAGGTTGGTCAGTAGTAGAAGATCTTGATCATATATTTTGTACTAGTTGACACTTATGGATATGGTGTTTTTTTCAAATTTAAGAACTGATGCATCCATGGAAATATGAACGTTCCTCTTATAATGCCACAGTTAAAGACTTGAGTACTATGATCTATTCTGTGTTACAGTGACCGAATTCACTATCCTTCATTATTATTACTGACAGATTTTTATGCCAGAAACACCTTTCTCATATATAATTCAATTACTATTAAATAGTTTCACAAGAATATCAAATGTCAATTTATTTCTTAAACATTATTGTTTTTAGCCATACTGTAATGGTCTAATAACATTGTCGTTACTAAGTTTGTTTTTCTTAATTATTCCTTCATATGACAATTGCAATGCTATTTATCTTTTTCTAGTTAAGTGATAAACGAGGTCAAATCCCAATTAAATGGACAGCTCCTGAAGCACTTCGAACTGGTCGTTACACTATTAAATGTGATGTATGGTCATATGGTGTACTTTTATGGGAAATATTTACTTTTGGTGATGTTCCTTATCGAAATTGGTCTAATCAACAAACAAGGGATATGATTGAATCAGGTAAATAATAACTAATAAATTTCTGTCCCAGTTTTATTTAAGTTTCTTAATACTACATTGAATGAACAGAATTAGCAGGAAGATTTGGAATAGAATTTTATGCTAACTTACTCTTTTCAGTAATGTGTCTATAAAGTTGACTTAAGTAGAACTATTGTCAGGTGATAAAGGTTTGAATCCTCCAGGAAGAACCAATTTTTTAATGGATTACACGTCATTTACGTCTAAGTAAATTTATATCAAATTATATATTACACGCAAAGATGAAACACCAAAACTATTGATCATATTATCATTTAATCGATAGAGTATAGTGGATAACCTTTACCTAGACAAAATATTTTATTTAAACACATAAACATTGGTACAAGCGGGTATCAGATATATGTGCGCCACACAAATCGAATGAGATTTGTGTGAGCGCTGTGATACTGCCTGGGTGCTCAGACCGAAGCAGGTGGTCTTCTTAGGGTGCCACACCTGGAGCCTTTGACCTAAAAGTCTAATCCACAAGGAAGTGGAGCATCGTGAGGAGATGCAGTCCCATGGTAGCCAGTGACCAACAATAGGTCCATACGCCATTTGTTTCTTCAGGATCGTGCAGCCCATCTACACCATTGGTTTGGAATGAGGGTTTTCGAACTTCCTAGGTGGGCTCTCCGCGTCCACCAGCCAACCCGGTTAAATCGCTGGTCATTCGCTTTGCGTCCTCTCAATGTCGTAAACAACACCTGTGGTGCGAGAAGGCAGTGAGCAGAACTTTTCTTGGAGTGTTTGTATGGACGCCGCTTTGTGAGAGCGTTTGTAGAGGGAGACCGAACTCTCCCCACTCTCGGCCGTACCAGGGCATTTAAGGGCCTTAGCCAAGGTACAACTTTTGTTAAACACTGATAATTGGTTCGAAGACAAAATAAATTATTCAATTAAATTATTCCGATTATGTAACAGTATAAATCAAAATGTGAAGTAGAACATTTTCCTATTCATCTGTTAACATTTTAATAACAATAATAATTATATATATATATATATATATATATATATATATATATATATATCTTCTGAAAATAATAATTACAGAATTCACGCCAGTTTACAGGAATGATCAATTTGATATAAATAATAACATTAGATATGCAGAACAAACATGTGATAAAAGAAAGTTTTAAGTGTACTAGTTCAATAATTGTGTTGGTAGTACATGTATGATAGCGACCCACTGCATCAGCCGCGAACTTTTAATTTTTCTTAAGTGGACAGCCTATCGACTTATGAACGGTGTATTTAAGGTCATTTCCTATGCTAGATCGAATTACTGATAATTATCTACCACTAGAGAAAGTAAAACGAAAACAGAGAGCACGGAACAACAAAGCAGTATTACCAAAATATATCAATCTGGTGTACCCAAATGCGTGTGTCATGTGACACAGTGATATACTATTCAAATTAGTTAGGGTTGCTAGGGACAGTGTTACATAAAGTGACAGCAGGCAAGTGGTTTTACTTAGGGAATACACTAATAATAATAATGGTCAAACTTTTAAAGTTCCTATAATGTCACTTGTGGAATAAGATACACTTACGGATGCTAGAACATTCAATGAATTTTCAGAGGAGCAATATACATCAATGCAGCGAACAAATAATGGGAGTAATTGTGGTAGATTATTCCAGAGTCTAGAAAATTTACAGGTAATGTAATTCATATGGAGAGATGGTTTAGAATAAGTTTGTTTCACTAATGACAAGCATTTACAGATGTCATCATGAGAAGTTCTTCATATTGAATCACTTGATTAGATGTAACGGATAGTTTATTAGGTATTTTGAAGAAATCGATTCGATTTAGTTTGAGTCTCTCTTCCTCTTCTTTTAAAGTCTTCTTCTTCTTTTTCTGTTAGGTTACAGATTACCTGCACCTGATTTAATGCCAGTTTGGTTACGTACATTAATGAATCATTGTTGGCATGATGAACCAATGAATCGACCAAGTTTTATAAAAATTTCTAATGAAATTCAAATTCCTAATGTGAATTCATTTACACCAAATTTAAATAGATCTATAGATCATTCTAAACATTGTCAATTGAAAATATCTAATCATGAAAATAATACATCAACAAGTTTAACGTCAGTTAGCACATCAGACTCATTGGATTAGTGAAAATAATATTTTGTTCGACAAATACTGAAGGCGATCTGAACACTAATGTATCGAGTCGTTCTTCCAGAATAGGAATGTTATTTCAATAGTCTAGCACATGGTGAACTGAAAAGTGTCGGCAGACACTCACTTTACACATTCATGAGAAAGGAAACAGTCTTATATTGTGTAAATCGTCAGTAATTTTGTTACTGTACATATATATCGACTATGATAAATTGCGATTTGAAAGCGTGACTTGTCTACACCTTCGATTTATCGAACAAGCATGACAAAGCAGAGATTTTAGAAATGAAACTAATACCTTCAAGATGATCACAATAACATGTAGTGTTTCAGTGATTTCAATACCTCAGATAAATTGGATATCGTATATACTGAATGAAAAACTAACGAACACCTCCTCGATAATACACAATCTGCCAACAGACGATAAACGTTTTCGAGCATTAAATCATCTCATCCATCGTTTCGTGGCGTGATTTCTATGTAAATTTGATGAAAGTGAAGACTTCTGTGGTAGTTCAAATTGAGTCCTTAATCATTTGGAATATCCAACAGCAAATCGACGTGTAATTATTAATAGCAAGGGAAGCGTCAACAGAGAAACAATACTGGATATCGTGAAATGGCTAAATAAAATTACACTTGGAATTTATGATATGATGAAACAGAAGTGATATATTCAAGTGCGGAAATATTCGATGCTGATTAAATAAGGTTTAACATACTTTCGATAGGTTTAGGCTTCACTGACGTGTCACTTGTCATCAATTCTGCAGGAGTTGTTATTTCAGGTTCTCTGACATCTGTAAATTTGGTGAAAGCAAAGACTTCTGTAGTAGTTCAAGTTGAGTGCTTAATCATTTGGAATATCCAACAGCACATCGACGTGTAATTATTAATAGCAAGGGAAGCGTCAACAGAGAAACAATACTGGATATCGTGAAATGGCTAAATAAAATTACACTTGGAATTTATAATATGATGAAACAGAAGTGATATATTCAAGTGCGGAAATATTCGATGCTGATTAAATAAGGTTTAACATACTCTCGATAGGTTCAAACTCCACTAACGTGTCACTTCTTATCCATTCTCCAGGAGTAGTTATTCTAACTATTATCTCATCTGAAATACATTTTTTAAAAACACTTAAAATTTTGATCTCCCGTGAATTAAATAACAATTCGTTTCATCATTTCATGTACCGTAAAATTAAGACTTAAACATTTCTGATTACAGATAGAGTGTTTTTCATACAAAATCCTCACAAAACATGCTCTACATCATTACTGATATGGAAAGCGGCCAGTGTTTAACTAGTAAATGAAAATGATACAATTGAATTTCTGATTCAATTTAAAACATTCTCAGTGCAACATCTTCAAGA